ACTGTGTGTGTGTGTGTGACTGTGTGTGTGTGACTGTGTGTGACTGTGTGTGTGACTGTGTGTGTGTGACTGTGTGTGTGTGTGACTGTGTGTGTGTGACTGTGTGTGTGTGACTGTGTGTGTGTGTGTGTGACTGTGTGTGTGTGTGACTGTGTGTGTGTGTGTGACTGTGTGTGTGTGTCACTGTGTGTGACTGTGTGTGTGTGTCACTGTGTGTGTGTGTGTGACTGTGTGTGTGTGTCACTGTGTGTGTGTGTGACTGTGTGTGTGTGACTGTGTGTGACTGTGTGTGTGTGTGACTGTGTGTGACTGTGTGTGTGTGTGACTGTGTGTGTGTGTGTGTGTGTGTGTGACTGTGTGTGTGTGTGACTGTGTGTGTGTGACTGTGTGTGTGTGTGACTGTGTGTGTGTGACTGTGTGTGTGTGTGACTGTGTGTGTGTGTGTGACTGTGTGTGTGTCACTGTGTGTGTGTGTGACTGTGTGTGTGTGTGACTGTGTGTGTGTGTGACTGTGTGTGTGTGACTGTGTGTGTGTGTGACTGTGTGTGTGTGACTGTGTGTGTGTGTGACTGTGTGTGTGTGACTCTGTGTGTGTGTCACTGTGTGTGACTGTGTGTGTGTGTGTGACTGTGTGTGTGTGTGACTGTGTGTGTGTGTGACTGTGTGTGTGTGTGTGACTGTGTGACTGTGTGTGTGACTGTGTGTGTGTGTGACTGTGTGTGTGTGACTGTGTGTGTGTGTGTGTGTGTGACTGTGTGTGTGTGACTGTGTGTGTGTGACTGTGTGTGTGTGAGTGTGTGTGTGACTGTGTGTGTGTGTGACTGTGTGTGTGTGTGACTGTGTGTGTGTGTGACTGTGTGTGTGTGACTGTGTGTGTGTGACTGTGTGTGTGTGTGTGACTGTGTGTGTGTGACTGTGTGTGTGTGACTGTGTGTGTGTGACTGTGTGTGTGTGACTGTGTGTGTGTGTGACTGTGTGTGTGTGACTGTGTGTGTGTGACTGTGTGTGTGTGACTGTGTGTGTGTCACTGTGTGTGTGTGTGTGACTGTGTGTGTGACTGTGTGTGTGTGACTGTGTGTGTGTGTGTGACTGTGTGTGTGTGACTGTGTGTGTGTGTGTGACTGTGTGTGTGTGACTGTGTGTGTGTGTGACTGTGTGTGTGTGTGACTGTGTGTGTGTGACTGTGTGTGTGTGTGTGTGACTGTGTGTGTGTGTGACTGTGTGTGTGTCACTGTGTGTGACTGTGTGACTGTGTGTGTGTGTGTGTGACTGTGTGTGTGTGACTGTGTGTGTGTGACTGTGTGTGTGTGACTGTGTGTGTGTGACTGTGTGTGACTGTGTGTGTGTGACTGTGTGTGTGTGACTGTGTGTGTGTGTGACTGTGTGTGTGTGTGTGACTGTGTGTGTGTGTGACTGTGTGTGTGTGTCACTGTGTGTGACTGTGTGTGTGTGTCACTGTGTGTGTGACTGTGTGTGTGTGACTGTGTGTGTGACTGTGTGTGTGTGACTGTGTGTGTGTGTGACTGTGTGTGTGACTGTGTGTGACTGTGTGTGTGTGTGACTGTGTGTGTGTGACTGTGTGTGTGACTGTGTGTGTGTGTGACTGTGTGTGTGTGACTGTGTGTGTGTGTGACTGTGTGTGTGTGTGACTGTGTGTGTGTGACTGTGTGTGTGTGACTGTGTGTGTGTGTGACTGTGTGTGTGTGTGACTGTGTGTGTGTGTGACTGTGTGTGTGTGACTGTGTGTGTGTGTGACTGTGTGTGACTGTGTGTGTGTGTGACTGTGTGTGTGTGTGTGTGACTCTGTGTGTGTGTCACTGTGTGTGACTGTGTGTGTGTGTGACTGTGTGTGTGTGTGTGACTGTGTGACTGTGTGTGTGAATGTGTGTGTGTGTGACTGTGTGTGTGTGACTGTGTGTGTGTGTGTGTGACTGTGTGTGTGTGTGTGACTGTGTGACTGTGTGTGTGTGTGTGTGACTGTGTGACTGTGTGTGTGTGTGTGTGACTGTGTGACTGTGTGTGTGTGACTGTGTGTGTGTGTGTGACTGTGTGTGTGTGTTGTGTGTGTGTGACTGTGTGTGTGTGACTGTGTGTGTGTGACTGTGTGTGTGTGACTGTGTGTGTGTGACTGTGTGTGTGTGTGACTGTGTGTGTGTGGGACTGTGTGTGTGTGTGACTGTGTGTGTGTGACTGTGTGTGACTGTGTGTGTGTGACTGTGTGTGTGTGTGACTGTGTGTGACGGTGTGTGTGTGTGACTGTGTGTGTGACTGTGTGTGTGACTGTGTGTGTGTGACTGTGTGTGTGTGACTGTGTGTGTGACTGTGTGTGTGTGTGACTGTGTGTGTGTGACTGTGTGTGTGTGTGACTGTGTGTGTGTGTGTCACTGTGTGTGTGTGTGTGACTGTGTGTGTGACTGTGTGTGTGTGTGTCACTGTGTGTGTGTGTGTGACTGTGTGTGTGACTGTGTGTGTGTGTGTGTGACTGTGTGTGTGTGACTGTGTGTGACTGTGTGTGTGACTGTGTGTGTGTGACTGTGTGTGTGTGTGACTGTGTGTGTGTGACTGTGTGTGTGTGACTGTGTGTGTGTGTGTGTGGCTGTGTGACTGTGTGTGTGACTGTGTGTGTGTGTGTGACTGTGTGTGTGTGACTGTGTGTGTGTGACTGTGTGTGTGTGACTGTGTGTGTGTGACTGTGTGTGTGACTGTGTGTGTGTGTGACTGTGTGTGTGTGACTGTGTGTGTGTGACTGTGTGTGTGTGACTGTGTGTGTGTGACTGTGTGTGTGTGTGACTGTGTGTGACTGTGTGTGTGTGACTGTGTGTGTGTGTGTGACTGTGTGTGTGTGTGACTGTGTGTGTGTGACTGTGTGTGTGACTGTGTGTGTGTGACTGTGTGTGTGTGACTGTGTGTGTGTGTGACTGTGTGTGTGTGTGTGACTGTGTGTGTGTGACTGTGTGTGTGTGACTGTGTGTGTGTGTCACTGTGTGTGTGTGTGACTGTGTGTGTGTGTGACTGTGTGTGTGTGTGTGACTGTGTGTGTGTGACTGTGTGTGACTGTGTGTGTGTGACTGTGTGTGTGTGACTGTGTGTGTGTGTGACTGTGTGTGTGTGTGACTGTGTGTGTGTGACTGTGTGTGTGTGACTGTGTGTGTGTGTGACTGTGTGTGTGTGACTGTGTGTGTGTGACTGTGTGTGTGTGTGTGACTGTGTGTGTGTGTGTGACTGTGTGTGTGTGACTGTGTGTGTGTGACTGTGTGTGTGTGACTGTGTGTGTGTGACTGTGTGTGTGTGTGACTGTGTGTGTGTGTGACTGTGTGTGTGACTGTGTTTGTGTGACTGTGTGTGTGTGTGACTGTGTGTGTGTGTGTGACTGTGTGTGTGTGTGTGACTGTGTGTGTGACTGTGTGTGTGTGTGTGACTGTGTGTGTGTGTGACTGTGTGTGTGTGACTGTGTGTGTGACTGTGTGTGTGTGTGTGACTGTGTGTGTGTGTGACTGTGTGTGTGTGTGACTGTGTGTGTGTGTGACTGTGTGTGTGTGTGACTGTGTGTGTGTGTGACTGTGTGTGTGTGTGACTGTGTGTGTGTGTGACTGTGTGTGTGTGACTGTGTGTGTGTGACTGTGTGTGTGTGTGTGTGTCACTGTGTGTGTGTGTGACTGTGTGTGTGTGTGACTGTGTGTGTGTGTGACTGTGTGTGTGTGACTGTGTGTGTGTGACTGTGTGTGTGTGACTGTGTGTGTGTGACTGTGTGTGTGTGTGACTGTGTGTGTGTGTGACTGTGTGTGTGTGTGACTGTGTGTGTGTGTGACTGTGTGTGTGTGACTGTGTGTGTGTGACTGTGTGTGTGACTGTGTGTGTGTGTGACTGTGTGTGTGTGTGACTGTGTTTGACTGTGTGTGTGTGACTGTGTGTGTGTGTGTGACTGTGTGTGTGTGTGACTGTGTGTGTGTGACTGTGTGTGTGACTGTGTGTGTGTGACTGTGTGTGTGTGACTGTGTGTGTGTGTGACTGTGTGTGTGTGTGACTGTGTGTGTGTGACTGTGTGTGTGTGACTGTGTGTGTGTGACTGTGTGTGTGTGTGACTGTGTGTGTGTGTGACTGTGTGTGTGTGTGTGTGACTGTGTGTGTGTGACTGTGTGTGACTGTGTGTGTGTGACTGTGTGTGTGTGACTGTGTGTGTGTGTGACTGTGTGTGTGTGACTGTGTGTGTGTGACTGTGTGTGTGTGACTGTGTGTGTGTGTGACTGTGTGTGTGTGACTGTGTGTGTGTGTGACTGTGTGTGTGTGACTGTGTGTGTGACTGTGTGTGTGTGACTGTGTGTGTGTGACTGTGTGTGTGTGTGACTGTGTGTGTGTGTGACTGTGTGTGTGTGACTGTGTGTGTGTGACTGTGTGTGTGTGTGTGTGTCACTGTGTGTGTGTGTGACTGTGTGTGTGTGTGACTGTGTGTGTGTGTGTGTGACTGTGTGTGTGTGACTGTGTGTGTGACTGTGTGTGTGTGTGACTGTGTGTGTGTGTGACTGTGTGTGACTGTGACTGTGTGTGTGTGTGACTGTGTGTGTGTGTGACTGTGTGTGTGTGACTGTGACTGTGTGTGTGTGTGACTGTGCGTGTGTGTGACTGTGTGTGTGTGTGACTGTGTGTGTGTGTGACTGTGTGTGACTGTGACTGTGTGTGTGTGTGACTGTGCGTGTGTGTGACTGTGTGTGTGTGTGACTGTGTGTGTGTGACTGTGTGTGTGACTGTGTGTGTGTGACTGTGTGTGTGTGTGACTGTGTGTGTGTGTGACTGTGTGTGTGACTGTGTGTGTGTGTGACTGTGTGTGTGTGACTGTGTGTGTGACTGTGTGTGTGTGTGTGACTGTGTGTGTGACTGTGTGTGTGTGTGACTGTGTGTGTGTGACTGTGTGTGTGTGTGACTGTGTGTGTGTGTGTGACTGTGTGTGTGACTGTGTGTGTGTGTGACTGTGTGTGTGTGACTGTGTGTGTGGCGGTGAGCAGGAGGTGAGCGCCCCTCCCCCCTCCCGCCTGCACGCGTTGGTGCGGAGTGGCAGCCTCAGCTGCATCCTGAGCAGCCTGGCGCTCGCTCACGACCTGCAGCGCCTGCACGCGGCCGGCACAGGTGATGCTCACCCACTCACTCACCCACTCACTCACCCACTCACTCACTCGCTCACCCACTCACCCACTCACCCACTCACTCACCCACTCACTCACCCACTCACTCACCCACTCACTCACCCACTCACTCACCCACTCACTCACCCACTCACTCACCCACTCGCTCACCCACTCGCTCACCCACTCGCTCACCCACTCACTCACCCACTCACTCACCCACTCACTCACCCACTCACTCACCCACTCGCTCACCCACTCGCTCACCCACTCACTCACCCACTCACTCACCCACTCACTCACCCACTCGCTCACCCACTCGCTCACCCACTCACTCACTCACCCACTCACTCACCCACTCACTCACCCACTCGCTCACCCACTCACTCACACACTCACTCGCTCACCCACTCGCTCACCCACTCGCTCACCCACTCGCTCACCCACTCGCTCACTCACACACTCACTCACCCACTCACTCACCCACTCGCTCACCCACTCACTCACTCACACACTCACTCGCTCACCCACTCGCTCACCCACTCGCTCACCCACTCGCTCACCCACTCGCTCACCCACTCGCTCACCCACTCGCTCACCCACTCGCTCACCCACTCGCTCACCCACTCGCTCACCCACTCGCTCACCCACTCACTCACTCACTCACCCACTCACCCACTCGCTCACCCACTCACTCACCCACTCGCTCACCCACTCACTCACCCACTCACTCACTCACCCACTCACTCACCCACTCACTCACCCACTCGCTCACCCACTCACTCACACACTCACCCACTCACTCACCCACTCACTCACCCACTCACTCACCCACTCACTCACCCACTCACTCACTCACACACTCACTCACACACTCACTCACTCACTCACCCACTCGCTCACCCACTCACTCGCTCACTCACTCGCTCACCCATCTCACTCACTCGCTCACCCGCTCACTCACCCACTCACTCACCCACTCACTCACCCACTCACTCACCCACTCACTCACCCACTCACTCACCCACTCGCTCACCCACTCACTCACCCACTCACTCACCCACTCACTCACTCACTCACCCACTCACTCACCCACTCACTCACCCACTCACTCACCCACTCACTCACCCACTCGCTCACCCACTCACTCACCCACTCGCTCACCCACTCACTCACCCACTCACTCACTCACACACTCACTCACACACTCACTCACTCACCCACTCACTCACCCACTCACTCACCCACTCACTCACCCACTCGCTCACCCACTCACTCACCCACTCACTCACCCACTCACTCACTCACACACTCACTCACACACTCACTCACTCACTCACCCACTCACTCACCCACTCACTCACCCACTCACTCACCCACTCACTCACCCACTCACTCACCCACTCGCTCACCCACTCACTCACCCACTCGCTCACCCACTCACTCACCCACTCGCTCACCCACTCACTCACCCACTCACTCACTCACTCACCCACTCACCCACCCACCCACTCACTCACCCACTCGCTCACCCACTCGCTCACCCACTCGCTCACCCACCCGCTCACTCACCCACTCACTCGCTCACTCACTCGCTCACCCATCTCTCTCACTCGCTCACCCGCTCACTCACCCACTCACTCACCCACTCACTCACCCACTCACTCACCCACTCACTCACCCACTCACTCACTCACTCGCTCACCCACTCACTCACCCACTCACTCACTCACACACTCACTCACTCACCCACTCACTCACCCACTCACTCACCCACTCACTCGCTCACCCACTCACTCACCCACTCACTCACCCACTCACTCACTCACACACTCACTCACACACTCACTCACCCACTCACTCACCCACTCACTCACCCACTCACTCACTCACCCACTCACTCACCCACTCACTCACCCACTCACTCACCCACTCACTCACCCACTCACTCACTCACACACTCACTCACCCACTCACTCACCCACTCACTCACCCACTCACTCACTCACCCACTCACTCACCCACTCACTCACCCACTCACTCACCCACTCACTCACTCACTCGCTTACCCACCCACTCACTCACTCACTCACCCACTCACTCACCCACTCGCTCACCCACTCACTCACACACTCACCCACTCACTCACCCACTCACTCACCCACTCACTCACCCACTCACTCACCCACTCACTCACTCACACACTCACTCACACACTCACTCACCCACTCACTCACCCACTCACTCACCCACTCACTCACCCACTCACTCACCCACTCACTCACTCACTCACCCACTCACTCACCCACTCACTCACCCACTCACTCACCCACTCGCTCACCCACTCACTCACCCACTCGCTCACCCACTCACTCACCCACTCACTCACTCACACACTCACTCACACACTCACTCACCCACTCACTCACCCACTCACTCACCCACTCACTCACCCACTCACTCACCCACTCGCTCACCCACTCACTCACCCACTCGCTCACCCACTCACTCACCCACTCACTCAGTCACTCACTCAGTCACTCACTCACCCACTCACTCACCCACTCACTCACCCACTCACTCACTCACTCACCCACTCACTCACCCACTCACTCACCCACTCACTCACCCACTCACTCACCCACTCACCCACTCACTCACCCACTCACTCACCCACTCACTCACCCACTCACTCACCCACTCGCTCACCCACTCACTCACCCACTCGCTCACCCACTCACTCACCCACTCACTCACTCACACACTCACTCACACACTCACTCACTCACCCACTCACTCACCCACTCACTCACCCACTCACTCACCCACTCGCTCACCCACTCACTCACCCACTCGCTCACCCACTCACTCACCCACTCACTCACTCACACACTCACTCACACACTCACTCACTCACTCACCCACTCACTCACCCACTCACTCACCCACTCACTCACCCACTCACTCACCCACTCACTCACCCACTCGCTCACCCACTCACTCACCCACTCGCTCACCCACTCACTCACCCACTCGCTCACCCACTCGCTCACCCACTCACTCACCCACTCACTCACCCACTCGCTCACCCACTCACTCACCCACTCGCTCACCCACTCACTCACCCACTCGCTCACCCACTCACTCACCCACTCGCTCACCCACTCACTCACCCACTCGCTCACCCACTCACTCACCCACTCACTCACCCACTCGCTCACTCACTCACCCACTCACCCACTCACTCACCCACTCACTCACCCACTCACCCACCCACTCGCTCACCCACTCACCCACTCACCCACTCACTCACCCACTCACTCACCCACTCACCCACTCACTCACCCACTCACTCACCCACTCACCCACTCACTCACCCCACTCACTCACCCCACTCACTCACCCCACTCACTCACCCCACTCACTCACCCCACTCACTCACCCACTCACCCCACTCACTCACCCCACTCACTCACCCCACTCACTCACTCACTCACCCCACTCACTCACCCCACCCACTCACCCCACTCACCCCACCCACTCACCCCACTCACTCACCCACTCACCCACCCACTCACCCACCCACTCACCCACCCACTCACCCACTCGCTCGCCCACTCACTCACCCACTCACCCACTCGCTCACCCACTCACCCACCCGCTCACCCACTCACTCACCCGCTCACCCACTCGCTCACCCGCTCACCCGCTCGCTCACCCACTCACCCGCTCGCTCACCCGCTCACTCACTCGCTCACCCACTCGCTCACCCGCTCGCTCACCCACTCACTCACTCGCTCACCCGCTCACTCACTCGCTCGCTCACCCGCTCACTCACTCGCTCACCCACTCGCTCACCCGCTCACTCACCCACTCACCCACTCGCTCACCCACTCACTCACTCGCTCACCCGCTCACTCACTCGCTCGCTCACTCCCTCACTCACTCGCTCACCCACCCACTCACTCACTCACCTACTCACCCACTCACTCACCTACTCACCCACTCACTCACCTACTCACCCACCTGCCCACTCTCACCCACTTGCTCACCTGCTCCGTGAGTGTGACGGGGAGTGGTGGTGCTGTGGTTAGCACTATGCTGTGTGTGACTGTCTGTGTGTGACTGTGTGTCAGTCTGTGTGACTGTGTGTGTGTGTCAGCCTGTGTGTGTGACTGTGTGTGTGTGTCAGGCCTTCATAGGTGCTCGCAGGCCTTCATAGGTGCTCGCTAACAGCATTTGTCCCTACAGTCTGTTACAGGCTATATGGGGGATCTTTGTTATCTTTGTCTTTGTGTGTCAGCCTGTGTGTGTCTATGTGTTTGTCTGTGTGTGTATGTGTCTGTGTGGTGTGTGTGTCTGTGTGGTCTGGGTGTGTGGTGTGTGAGTGTGTGTGTGTGAGTGTGTGTGTGGTGTGTGTGTGTCACTGTGTGTGTCTGTGTGTGTGTGTGTAACTGTGTGTAACTGTGTGTGTGTAGTGTGAGTGGTCTACGGGAGAGTGTGCGTGCTCTGGGTTTGACTATGTGTGTGTGTCACTGTGTGTGTGTGTCTGTGTGTGTCACTGTGTGTGTGTCACTGTGTGTGTGTGTGTGTGTCACTGTGTGTGTCTCCCTGTTGTGGGGAGCGGTGGTGCAGCTGTTAGCGCTACGCTGCGCTATGAACCTGGCGACCCGGGTTCGATTCCCGCTCATGGCCAACACCAGTGACGATTATCTGAACCGGTCCCGGGCCTCCCCTAGGTCGACTCAGCCTCAAATTAGTACCTGGTGCGGTGTGTAAACATCGCCACTAGGGAGACAAAGGCGGTCGGGTGTGGTGCTGGCCACCCACCCCCTCGTGTACCGTTCCGGCCTTCATAGGTGCTCACTAACAGCACTTGCCCCTACAGTCTGTTAAGGCTATATGGGGGATCTTTGTTTGGTCTTTGTTTGTGTGTCACTGTGTATGTGACTATGTATATGTATGTGTGTGTCACTGTGTGTGTATGTATGTGACTGTGTGTATGTATGTGTATGTGACTGTATGTGTGTATGTATGTGACTGTATGTGTGTGTGTGACTGTATGTGTGTCACTGTGTATGTGACTATGTATATGTATGTGTGTGTCACTGTGTGTGTATGTATGTGTGTGTATGTATATGTTTTATGTGTGTATATGACTGTATGTGTGTGTGTGACTGTATGTGTATGTGACTGTATGTGTGTGTGTGTGACTGTATGTGTGTCACTGTGTATGTGACTATGTATATGTATGTGTGTGTCACTGTGTGTGTGTATGTATGTGTGTGTATGTATGTGTGTATGTGACTGTATGTGTGTGTATGTGTCACTGTGTGGTGTGTGCGTATGTGACTATGTGTATGTGTGTGTGACTGTGTGTGTATATGACTGTATGTATGTGTGTGGTGTGTGTGTGTGTCACTGTGTATATGACTGTATGTGTGTATATGACTGTGTGTATATGACTGTATGTGACTGTGTATGTGTGTCACTGTGCGTGACTGTATGTGTGTATATGACTGTGTGTATATGACTGTATGTGTGTGTGTGACTGTATGTGTGTGTATGTGTATGTATGTGACTGTGTGTGTGTATATGACTGTATGTATGTGTGTGTGACTGTGTGTGTATATGACTGTATGTGTGTGTGTGTGTCACTGTGTATATGACTGTATGTGACTGTGTATGTGTGTCACTGTGCGTGACTGTATGTGTGTATATGACTGTGTGTATATGACTGTATGTGTGTGTGTGTGACTGTATGTGTGTGTATGTGTATGTATGTGACTGTGTGTGTATATGACTGTATGTATGTGTGTGTGACTGTGTGTGTATATGACTGTATGTGTGTGTGTGTCACTGTGTATATGACTGTATGTGTATGTATATGACTGTGTGTATATGACTGTATGTGTGTGTGTGGTGTGTGTGTGTGTGTCACTGTGTATATGACTGTATGTGTATGTATATGACTGTGTGTATATGACTGTATGTGTGTGTGTGGTGTGTGTGTGTGTCACTGTGTATATGACTGTATGTGTATGTATATGACTGTGTGTATATGACTGTATGTGTGTGTGTGGTGTGTGTGTGTGTGTCACTGTGTATATGACTGTATGTGTATGTATGTGACTGTGTGTGTATGTGACTGTATGTGTGTGGTGTGTGTATATGACTGTGTGTGTGACTGTGTGTGTGACTGTATGTGTGTGTGTGTGACTGTGTGTGTGTGTCTGTGTAGACCCTTCTGCTGAGCTCCAGGAGGCAGTCTGTGACAAGTTCGCCTTGGTGGTTCCGCTACTCAGAGGTACCAGCAACATCATCAGCAACATCATCAGCATCATCAGCATCATCAGCATCATCATCAGCATCATCAGCATCATCAGCAGCATCATCATCATCATTAGCATCATTGTCATCAGCAACATCATCAGCAGCAGCATCATCAGCATCATCATCAGCATCATCAGCAGCAGCAATCATCATCATCATCAGTAGCATCATCATCAGTAGCATCATCATCATTAGCATCATTATCATCAGCAACATCATCAGCAGCATCATCATCAGCAGCATCATCATCAGCTATATCAGCATCATCAGCAGTATCATCAGCAGCAGCATCATCATCTGCATCATCATCAGCAGCAGCATCATCAGCAGCATCATCAGCAGCAGCAGCATCATCATCAGCATCATCATCAGCAGCAACATCATCACCATCATCATCAGCAGCAACATCATCACCAGCATCATCATCAGCATCATCATCATCAGCAGCAGCATCATCAGCAGCATCATCAGCAACAGCAGCATCAGCAGCAGATGATGACGGTGATGTTGTTGATGTTGTTGATGTTTTTTGTTGATGATGTTGTTGATATAGGAATAGGTTTTACCCTTTTAACTGGCACAAAAACTGACACCTTTATTCAAGGCATCGTGTTTGCAATGACCACAACACAAGCAGTCAAAATGCAAACAAAAAAGACAACTCTGATAATAATATGCACTGTCCTTGAATTTGATTGGTCCACACACGAGTTAAAAGGGTAAAACCTATTCCTATAGCTTGTTTCTGGCAAAGGAGGTCTCATAATGTAAATGCTCACCCCGAGCCCTCAATACTCTGATGGTGCGCTGTCTTTGAGTTGTACGCCTTTTGGCGTCTTCTGGTCCAACACCAATGGAGACTAAAGGGCTCTAAGAAAAGCTGTCTCGGGTGTGGACCAATCAAATTCAAGGACAGTGCATATTATTATCAGAGTTGTCTTTTTTGTGTGCATTTTGACTTCTTGTGTTGTGGTTATTGCAAACATGATGCCTTGAATAAAGGTGTCAGTTTGTGTGCCAGTTAAAAGGGTAAAAACCTATTACTATATCTTGTTACTGGCAAAGGAGGTCTCATAATGTAAATGCTCACCCCGAGCCCTCAATACTCTGATGGTGCGCTGTCTTTGAGTTGTACGCCTTTTGGCGTCTTCTGGTCCAACACCAATGGAGACTAGGCTCTAAGAAAAGCTGTCTCGGGTGTGGACCAATCAAATTCAAGGACAGTGCCAATATTATTATCAGAGTTGTCTTTTTTGTGTGCATTTTGACTTCTTGTGTTGTGGTTATTGCAAACATGATGCCTTGAATAAAGGTGTCAGTTTGTGTGCCAGTTAAACGGGTAAAACCTATTCCTATATCTTGTTTCTGGCAAAGGAGGTCTCATAATGATGTTGTTGATGTTGTTATTGTTGTTGTTGTTATTGTTGATGTTGTTGTTGATGTTGTTGATGTTGTTGATGATGTTGAAGTTGTTGTTGTTGTTGATGATGTTGAAGTTGTTGATGATGTTGATGTTGTTGTTATTGTTGTTGATGTTGTTATTGTTGATGTTGTTGTTGTTGTTGTTATTGTTGATGTTGTTGTTGGTGATGATGTTGTTGTTGATGTTATTATTGTTATTATTATTGTTGATGTTGATGTTGTTGTTATTATTGTTGTTGTTGATGATGTTGATGTTGTTGTTGATGTGTAGAGGTGCTGGCACGGTGCAGGGGCTCTGTGCTCTCTTCCTCCCCCTCACTGGGGCTGAGCGTCGCCCCTCAGCTGCTGGAGCACCTGGTACTCTTCATGGAGGTGAATCAACAACAACACCAACAACATCAATAACAACATCAACAGCAACATCAACAACATCAATAACAACATCAACAACATCAATAACAACATCAACAGCAACATCAACAACATCAACAACAACATCAACAACATCAACAACAACATCAACAACATCAATAACAACATCAACAACAACATCAACATCATCATCAACAACATCAACAGCAACATCAACAACAACATCAACACCATTAACAACAACATCGTCAACAACATCATCAACAACAACATCTCCCCCCCCGTGTCTCTCCCCTCCGTGTCTCTCTCCCCGTGTCCCCCCGTGTCTCCCCGTGTCTCTCTCCCCGTGTCCCCCCGTGTCTCCCCGTGTCTCTCTCCCCGTGTCTCCTCCCCGTGTCTCCCCGTGTCTTCCCGTGTCTCCCCCCGTGTCTCCCCCCCGTGTCTCCCAGTGTCTCTCCCCCTTGTCTCCCCGTGTCTCTCCCCGTGTCTCTCCCCCCCCGTGTCTCCCCCCGTGTCTCCCCGTGTCTCCCCCCGTGTCTCCCCCCCGTGTCTCCCAGTGTCTCTCCCCCTTGTCTCCCCGTGTCTCTCCCCGTGTCTCTCCCCCCCCGTGTCTCCCCCCGTGTCTCCCCCCCGTGTCTCCCAGTGTCTCTCCCCCTTGTCTCCCCGTGTCTCTCCCCCCCCCCGTGTCTCCCCCCCGTGTCTCCCCCCGTGTGTCTCCCCCCCCCGTGTCTCCCCCCCGTGTCTCCCCCCCGTGTCTCCCCCCCCTGTCTCTCCCCCCGTGTCTCTCTCCCCGTGTCTCCCAGTGTCTCTCCCCCTTGTCTCCCCGTGTCTCTCCCCGTGTCTCTCCCCCCCCCGTGTCTCCCCCCCGTGTCTCCCCGTGTCTCTCCCCCCGTGTCTCTCTCCCCGTGTCTCCCCCCGTGTCTCTCCCCGTGTCTCCCCGTGTCTCTCCCCGTGTCTCCCCCCGTGTCTCTCCCCGTGTCTCCCCGTGTCTCTCCCCGTGTCTCTCCCCCCCCGTGTGTCTCTCCCCGTGTCTCTCTCCCCTGTCCGTGTCTCCCCAGACTGCTGCTGTGGTGAGCTTCGTGGCTGGTGTGGCTTGCCGTGCCCTACGCCCCACCAGCTCCCCGTGTCTCTCTCCCCGTGTCTCTCTCCCCGTGTCTCTCTCCCCGTGTCTCTCTCCCCGTGTCTCTCTCCCCGTGTCTCTCTCCCCTGTCCGTGTCTCCCCAGACTGCTGCTGTGGTGAGCTTCGTGGCTGGTGTGGCTTGCCGTGCCCTACGCCCCACCAGCTCCCCGTGTCTCTCTCCCCGTGTCTCTCTCCCCGTGTCTCTCTCCCCGTGTCTCTCTCCCCGTGTCTCTCTCCCCGTGTCTCTCTCCCCTGTCCGTGTCTCCCCAGACTGCTGCTTGGTGAGCTTCGTGGCTGGTGTGGCTTGCCGTGCCCTACGCCCCACCAGCTCCCCGTGTCTCTCTCCCCGTGTCTCTCTCCCCTGTCCGTGTCTCCCCAGACTGCTGCTGTGGTGAGCTTCGTGGCTGGTGTGGCTTGCCGTGCCCTACGCCCCACCAGCTCCCCGTGTCTCTCTCCCCGTGTCTCTCTCCCCTGTCCGTGTCTCCCCAGACTGCTGCTGTGGTGAGCTTCGTGGCTGGTGTGGCTTGCCGTGCCCTACGCCCCACCAGGTCCCAGCTGCAGAAGCGGCGCAGGAAGAAGGGGGGTGGAGGGGCAGGGACGGGGACGGTGAGTGAACACGTGACAGTGAGTGTGTGTGTCAGTGAGTGAACACGTGACAGTGAGTCAGTGTCAGTGAGTGAACACGTGAGTCAGTGAGTCAGTGTGTCAGTGTGTGTGTGAACACGTGTCACTGTGTGAGTGTGTCAGTGTGTGTGTGTGTGTCAGTGTCACTGTGTGAGTCAGTGTGTGTGTGTCAGTGTGTCAGTGTGTGTGTGTCACTGTGTGTGTGTGTGTCACTGTGTGTGTGTGTGTCACTGTGTGTGTGTCACTGTGTGTGTGTCACTGTGTGTGTGTCACTGTGTGTGTGTGTCACTGTGTGTGTGTGTGTCACTGTGTGTGTGTGTGTCACTGTGTGTGTGTCACTGTGTGAGTGTCACTGAGTGTGTGTCACTGTGTGTGTGTCAGTGTGTGTGTGTCTTTGTCTTTGTGTGTCACTGTGTGGGGAGTGATAGTGTAGCGGTTAGCGCTACGCTGCGCTATGAACCTGGCGACCCGGGTTCGATTCCCGCTCACGGCCAACACCACCAGTGACGATTATCTGAACCGGTCCCGGGCCTCCCCTAGGTCGACTCAGCCTCAAATGAGTACCTGGTGCGGTGTGTAAACATTGCCACTAGGGAGACAAAGGCGGTCGGGCGTGGTGCTGGCCACCCACCCCCTCGTGTACCGTTCCGGCCTTCATAGGTGCTCGCTAACAGCACTTGCCCCTACAGTCTGTTAAGGCTATATGGGGGAACTTTGTGTGTGACTGTGTGTGTGTCACTGTGTGTGTGTCACTGTGTGTGTGTGTGTCGGTGTGTGTGTGTCACTGTGTGTGTCACTGTGTGTGTGTGTGTCACTGTGTGTGTCACTGTGTGTGTGTGTCAGTGTGTGTGTGTCACTGTGTGTGTGTCACTGTGTGAGTGTCACTGTGTGTGTGTGTCACTGTGTGTGTCACTGTGTGTGTGTCACTGTGAGTGTGTGTGTCACTGTGTGTGTGTGTCACTGTGTGTGTCACTGTGTGTGTGTGTGTCACTGAGTGTGTGTCACTGTGTGTGTGTGTCGATGTGTGTGTGTCACTGTGTGTGTCACTGTGTGTGTGTGTCACTGTGTGTGTCACTGTGTGTGTGTCACTGTGTGTGTCACTGTGTGTCACTGTGTGTGTGTGTCACTTGTGTGTGTGTCACTGTGTGTGTCACTGTGTGTCACTGTGTGTGTCACTGTGTGTGTGTGTCACTGTGTGTGTCACTGTGTGAGTGTGTGTCAGTGTGTGTGTGTCACTGTGTGTGCCACTGTGTGTGTCACTGTGTGTGTGTGTCACTGTGTGTGTGTGTCACTGTGTGTGTGTCACTGTGTGTGTCACTGTGTGTGTCAGTGTATGTGAGTGTGTCAGTGTGTGTGTGTGTCACTGTGTGTGTCAGTGTGTGTGTGTCACTGTGTGTGCCACTGTGTGTGTCACTGTGTGTGTGTCACTGTGTGTGTGTGTCACTGTGTGTGTCACTGTGTGTGTGTCACTGTGTGTGTGTCACTGTGTGTGTCACTGTGTGTGTGTGTCACAGTGTGTGTGTGTGTCACTGTGTGAGTGTGTGTCACTGTGTGTGTGTCACTGTGTGGTGTCACTGTGTGTGTGTGGTCACTGTGTGTGTGTGTGTCACTGTGTGTGTGTGTCACTGTGTGTGTGTGTCACTGTGTGTGTGTGTCACTGTGTGTGTCACTGTGTGTGTCACTGTGTGTGTGTGTGTCACAGTGTGTGTGTGTGTCACAGTGTGTGTGTGTCACTGTGTGTGTGTGTCACTGTGTGTGTGTCACTGTGTGTGTGTGTGTTACTGTGTGTGTGTGTGTGTTACTGTGTGTGTGTCACTGTGTGTGTCTCACTGTGTGTGTAGCGGTTAGCGCTACGCTGCGCTATGAACCTGGCGACCCGGGTTCGATTCCCGCTCACGGCCAACACCACCGGTGACGATTATCTGAACTGGTCCCGGGCCTCCCCTAGCCTCAAATGAGTGTCTGGTGTAGCTGTGGTGTGTAGTGAACATCGCCAGCACTGGGGGAGAGACAAAGGCGGCCGGGCGTGGTGCTGGTAGCCACCCACCCCCTCTCTGTGTGTGTGTGTAGGTGCTGCTACTCGCTACTAACAGCACTTGCCCCTACAGCCCTGCTAGAGGCTACCTGGGGGATCTTTGTCTGTGTGTGTGTAGGTGCTGCTACTCGCTACTAACAGCACTTGCCCCTACAGCCCTGCTAGAGGCTACCTGGGTGCCCTATACCTGTACCTGTGTGCCCCCCCCCCGCTCACCAGCCCCCCACGCTGGAGAGCTTCGCCGTGTTCACGGCAGCGCTCCGTGAGACGCTCACCGACGCGGTGAGCGACGTGGAGAGCAAAGCTCAGCACGTGGCAACACTGCCCTACCACAGCCTCATCACTCACCACTCACAGGTGGGTGCTGAGTGGGTGGGTGGGTTAGTGGGTGGGTGGGTGGGTGAGTGGGTGGGTGGGTGAGTGGGGGGTGGGTGAGTGAGTGGGTGGGTGGGTGGGTGAGTGGGTGGGTGGGTGAGTGGGTGGGTGGGTGGGTGAGTGGGTGGGTGGGTGAGTGGGTGGGTGGGTGTGTGTGTGGGTGGGTGAGTGGGTGGGTGGGTGAGTGGGGGGGTGGGTGAGTGGGTGGGTGGGTGAGTGGTGGGTGAGTGGGTGAGTGGTGGGTGGGTGGTGGGTGAGTGGGTGGGTGGGTGAGTGGGTGGGTGGGTGGGTGAGTGGGTGGGTGGGTGAGTGGGTGGGTGGGTGAGTGTGTGGGTGGGTGAGTGGTGGGTGAGTGGGTGGGTGGGTGAGTGGTGGGTGAGTGGGTGGGTGGGTGGTGGGTGAGTGGGTGGGTGGGTGGTGGGTGGGTGAGTGGGTGGGTGGGTGAGTGGGTGGGTGGGTGGGTGAGTGGGTGGGTGGGTGGGTGGGTGAGTGGGTGGGTGGGTGGGTGAGTGGGGGGGTGGGTGGGTGAGTGGGTGGGTGGGTGGGTGGGTGGGTGGGTGAGTGGGTGGGGGGGTGAGTGGGTGGGTGGGTGAGTGGGTGAGTGGGTGGGTGGGTGGGTGAGTGGGTGCGTGGGTGAGTGGGTGGGTGGGTGGGTGAGTGGGTAGGTGGGTGGGTGAGTGGGTGAGTGGGTGGGTGAGTGGGTGGGTGGGTGGGTGAGTGGGTGGGTGGGTGGGTGAGTGGGTGGGTGGGTGGGTGGGTGGGTGGGTGAGTGGGTGGGTGGGTGAGTGGGTGGGTGGGTGGGTGGGTGAGTGGGTGGGTGGGTGAGTGGGTGGGTGGGTGGGTGAGTGGGTGGGTGGGTGAGTGGGTGGGTGGGTGGGTGAGTGGGTGGGTGGGTGAGTGGGTGGGTGGGTGGGTGAGTGGGTGGGTGGGTGGGTGGGTGGGTGAGTGGGTGGGTGAGTGGGTGGGTGGGTGAGTGGGTGAGTGGGTGGGTGAGTGGGTGGGTGAGTGGGTGGGTGAGTGAGTGGGTGGGTGGGTGGGTGGGTGGGTGAGTGGGTGGGTGGGTGAGTGGGTGGGTGGGTGAGTGGGTGGGTGGGTGAGTGAGTGGGTGAGTGGGTGGGTGGGTGAGTGGGTGGGTGAGTGGGTGGGTGAGTGGGTGAGTGAGTGGGTGAGTGGTGGGTGAGTGGGTGGGTGAGTGGGTGGGTGGGTGGGTGAGTGAGTGGGTGGGTGGGTGGGTGGGTGAGTGGGTGGGTGAGTGAGTGGGTGGGTGGGTGAGTGGGTGGGTGAGTGGGTGGGTGGGTGGGTGAGTGGGTGGGTGGGTGGGTGAGTGGGTGGGTGGGTGGGTGAGTGGGTGGGTGGGTGGGTGAGTGAGTGGGTGGGTGAGTGAGTGGGTGGGTGGGTGAGTGGGTGTGTGGGTGGGTGAGTGGGTGGGTGGGTGGGTGAGTGGTGGGTGAGTGGTGGGTGAGTGGTGGGTGAGTGGTGGGTGGGTGAATGGGGTGGGTGAGTGGGTGGGTGAGTGGGTGGGTGGGTGAGTGGGTGGGTGGGTGGGTGAGTGGGTGGGTGGGTGGGTGAGTGGGTGGGTGGGTGAGTGGGTTAGTGGGTGGGTGGGTGGGTCAGTGGGTGGGTGAGTGGGTGGGTGGGTGGGTGAGTGGGTGGGTGAGTGGGTGAGTGGGTGGGTGAGTGGGTGGGTGAGTGGGTGGGTGAGTGGGTGGGTGGGTGGGTGAGTGGGTGGGTGGGTGAGTGGGTGGGTGAGTGGGTGGGTGGGTGGGTGAGTGGGTGGGTGGGTGGGTGAGTGAGTGGGTGGGTGGGTGAGTGGGTGGGTGGGTGGGTGGGTGGGTGAGTGGGTGGGTGGGTGAGTGGGTGGGTGGGTGAGTGGGTGGGTGGGTGAGTGGGTGGGTGGGTGAGTGGGTGGGTGGGTGAGTGAGTGGGTGGGTGAGTGGGTGGGTGAGTGGGTGGGTGAGTGGGTGGGTGAGTGGGTGAGTGGGTGGGTGGGTGGGTGGGTGAGTGGGTGGGTGGGTGGGTGAGTGGGTGGGTGGGTGGGTGAGTGGGTGGGTGGGTGGGTGAGTGGGTGGGTGGGTGGGTGGGTGAGTGGGTGGGTGGGTGGGTGGGTGAGTGGGTGGGTGGGTGGGTGGGAGTGGGTGGGTGGGTGGGTGAGTGGGTGGGTGGGTGGGTGAGTGGGTGGGTGGGTGGGTGGGTGGGTGAGTGGGTGGGTGGGTGAGTGGTGGGTGAGTGGGTGAGTGGTGGGTGGGTGAGTGGGTGAGTGGGTGGGTGGGTGGGTGAGTGGGTGGGTGAGTGGGTGGGTGGGTGAGTGGGTGGGTGGGTGAGTGGGTGGGTGAGTGGGTGGGTGAGTGGGTGGGTGGGTGGGTGAGTGGGTGGGTGGGTGGGTGAGTGGGTGGGTGGGTGGGTGGGTGGGTGGGTGGGTGAGTGGGTGGGTGGGTGAGTGGGTGGGTGGGTGGGTGAGTGGGTGGGTGGGTGGGTGGGTGAGTGGGTGGATGGGTGAGTGGGTGGGTGGGTGAGTGGGTGAGTGGGTGGGTGAGTGAGTGAGTGAGTGGGTGGGTGAGTGAGTGGGTGAGTGGGTGGGTGGGTGTGTGGGTGGGCGAGTGGGTGGGTGGGCGAGTGGCTGGGTGGGCGAGTGGGTGGGTGGGTGGGTGGGCGCTTGGGGCCAAGCAGGGCCAGGGGGAGGGCCGATGATCGTCCAATGGGAGAGCAGCTCCTCTTATTCACCCCCCCCCTCCCCCCCCCCCCCCCCCATGGCCCCGTTGGTGGTGAGCAGGCTGGTGAGCAGGCTGGTGAGCAGGCTGGTGAGCAGGCTGGTGAGCGTGCGGTGTGGGAGAAAGTGCAGAGAAGCTACCAGCGCTCGCTGCAGGAGATCGAGGAAGCTCTCAAACGTCGCCTCGAGTCCACACTCACCACACTCAAACTCTGACGCTCACCACTCACCACTCACTCACCACTCACTCACCACACTCAAACTCTGACGCTCACCACTCACACTCACCACTCACTCACTCACCACTCACTCACCACTCACTCACTCACCACTCACTCACCACTCACTCACCACTCACTCACTCACCACTCACTCACTCACCACTCACTCACTCACCACTCACACTCACCACTCACTCACCACTCACTCACCACACTCACTCACACTCACCACTCACTCACCACTCACTTACCACTCACTCACTCACCACTCACTCACCACTCACTCACCACTCACTCAAACTCTGACGCTCACCACTCACTCACCACTCACTTACCACTCACTCACTCACCACTCACTCACCACTCACTCACCACACTCAAACTCTGACGCTCACCACTCACCACTCACTCACCACTCACTCACACTCACCACTCACTCACCACTCACTCACCACACTCACTCACACTCACCACTCACTCACCACTCACTTACCACTCACTCACTCACCACTCACTCACCACTCACTCACCACTCACTCAAACTCTGACGCTCACCACTCACTCACCACTCACTTACCACTCACTCACTCACCACTCACTCACCACTCACTCACCACTCACTCAAACTCTGACGCTCACCACTCACTCACCACTCACCACTCACTCACCACTCACTCACCACTCACCACTCACTCACCACTCACTCACCACTCACTCACTCACCACTCACACTCACCACTCACTCACCACACTCAAACTCTGACGCTCACCACTCACCACTCACTCACCACTCACCACTCACTCACCACTCACTCACCACTCACTCACCACACTCAAACTCTGACGCTCACCACTCACTCACCACTCACCACTCACTCACCACTCACTCACCACTCACCACTCACTCACCACTCACTCACCACTCACTCACTCACCACTCACACTCACCACTCACTCACCACACTCAAACTCTGACGCTCACCACTCACCACTCACTCACCACTCACCACTCACTCACCACTCACTCACCACTCACTCACCACACTCAAACTCTGACGCTCACCACTCACTCACCACTCACCACTCACTCACCACCCACTCACCACTCACCACTCACTCACCACTCACTCACCACTCACTCACTCACCACTCACACTCACCACTCACTCACCACACTCAAACTCTGACGCTCACCACTCACTCACCACTCACCACTCACTCACCACTCACTCACCACTCACTCACTCACCACTCACACTCACCACTCACTCACCACACTCAAACTCTGACGCTCACCACTCACTCACCACTCACTCACCACTCACTCACCACTCACTCACCACTCACTCACTCACCACTCACACTCACCACTCACTCACCACACTCAAACTCTGACGCTCACCACTCACTCACCACTCACCACTCACTCACCACTCACTCACCACTCACTCACTCACCACTCACACTCACCACTCACTCACCACACTCAAACTCTGACGCTCACCACTCACTCACCACTCACTCACCACTCACACTCACCACACTCAAACTCTGACGCTCACCACTCACTCACCACTCACTCACCACTCACTCACCACTCACTCACCACTCACTCACTCACCACTCACACTCACCACTCACTCACCACACTCAAACTCTGACGCTCACCACTCACTCACCACACTCACTCACCACTCACACTCACCACACTCAAACTCTGACGCTCACCACTCACTCACCACTCACTCACCACTCACACTCACCACACTCAAACTCTGACGCTCACCACTCACTCACCACTCACTCACCACTCACACTCACCACACTCAAACTCTGACGCTCACCACTCACTCACCACTCACTCACCACTCACACTCACCACACTCAAACTCTGACGCTCACCACTCACTCACCACTCACTCACCACTCACACTCACCACACTCAAACTCTGACGCTCACCACTCACTCACCACTCACCACTCACTCACCACTCACTCACCACTCACTCACTCACCACTCACACTCACCACTCACTCACCACACTCAAACTCTGACGCTCACCACTCACTCACCACACTCACTCACCACTCACACTCACCACACTCAAACTCTGACGCTCACCACTCACTCACCACTCACTCACCACTCACACTCACCACACTCAAACTCTGACGCTCACCACTCACTCACCACTCACTCACCACTCACTCACCACTCACTCACCACTCACTCACTCACCACTCACACTCACCACTCACTCACCACACTCAAACTCTGACGCTCACCACTCACTCACCACTCACTCACCACTCACACTCACCACACTCAAACTCTGACGCTCACCACTCACTCACCACTCACTCACCACTCACACTCACCACACTCAAACTCTGACGCTCACCACTCACTCACCACTCACTCACCACTCACTCACCACTCACTCACCACTCACTCACTCACCACTCACACTCACCACTCACTCACCACACTCAAACTCTGACGCTCACCACTCACTCACCACACTCACTCACCACACTCACTCACCACTCACACTCACCACTCACTCACCACTCACTCACCACACTCACCACACTCAAACTCTGACGCTCACCCACTCACTCACCACTCACTCACCACTCACTCACCACACTCAAACTCTGACGCTCACCACTCACCACTCACTCACCACTCACTCACCACTCACACTCACCACTCACTCACCACTCACTCACCACACTCAAACTCTGACGCTCACCACTCACCACTCACTCACCACTCACTCACCACTCACACTCACCACTCACTCACCACTCACACACCACACTCAAACTCTGACGCTCACCACTCACTCACCACTCACTCACCACTCACACTCACCACTCACTCACCACTCACTCACCACACTCAAACTCTGACGCTCACCACTCACCACTCACTCACCACTCACTCACCACTCACACTCACCACTCACTCACCACTCACACACCACACTCAAACTCTGACGCTCACCACTCACTCACCACTCACTCACCACTCACCACTCACTCACCACTCACTCACTCACCACTCACCACTCACTCACCACTCACTCACCACTCACTCACTCACCACTCACTCACCACTCACTCACCACTCACTCACCACTCAAACTCTGACGCTCACCACTCACTCACCACACTCACTCACCACTCACTCACCACTCACTCACCACTCACTCACCACCACTCGCTCACCCACTCACTCACTCACCACTCACACTCACCACCCACTCACTCACTCACCACTCACACTCACCACACTCAAACTCTGACGCTCACCACTCACTCACCACTCACTCACCACTCACTCACCACTCACCACTCACTCACCACTCACCACTCACTCACCACTCACTCACCACTCACTCACCACCCACTCACCACTCACCACTCACTCACCACTCACTCACCACTCACTCACCACCCACACTCACCACACTCAAACTCTGACGCTCACCACCCACTCACCACTCATTCACCACTCACACGCACCACACTCAAACTCTGACGCTCACCACTCACTCACCACTCACACTCACCACACTCAAACTCTGACGCTCACCACTCACTCACCACTCACTCACCCACTCACCACTCACTCACCACTCACTCACCACTCTCACCACACTCAAAATCTGACGCTCACCACTCACTCACCACTCACTCACCACACTCAAACTCTGATGCTCACCACTCACTCACCACTCACTCACCACACTCACTCACCACTCACTCACCACTCACTCACTCACCACTCACTCACCACTCACTCACTCACTCACCACTCACTCACCACTCACTCACTCACTCACCACTCACACGCACCACACTCAAACTCTGACGCTCACCACTCACTCACCACTCACCACCCACACTCACCACTCACTCACCACTCACTCACTCACCACTCACTCACCACTCACTCACTCACTCACCACTCACACGCACCACACTCAAACTCTGACACTCACCACTCACTCACCACTCACTCACCACTCACTCACCACTCACACGCACCACACTCAAACTCTGACGCTCACCACACTCACTCACCACTCACTCACCACCCACACTCACCACTCACTCACCACCCACACTCACCACTCACTCACCACCCACACTCACCACTCACTCACCATCCTCACGCGCACCACCCACGCTCACCATCCTCACGCTCACCACTCACACTCACCACCCACACTCACCATCCACACACTCACCACCCACACGCTCTGACGCTCACCACTCACTCACCATCCTCACGCTCACCACCCACACACTCACCACCCTCACGCTCATCACCCTCACGCTCACCACCCACATGCTCACCACCCACACGCTCACCACCCTCACGCTCACCACCCACTCACCACCCACACTCACCACCCTCATGCTCACCACCCACACACTCACCACTCACACGCTCACCACCCACACGCTCACCACGCACACGCTCACCACCCACACACTCACCACTCACACTCACCACACTCACGCTCACCACCCACACGCTCACCACCCACACTCACCCCTGAGTGAGTGTTGCTGAGTGTGATGGTGGTGGTGATGGTGTTGTTGGTGGTGATGGTGGTGGTGATGGTGGTGGTGATGATGGTGGTGGTGGTGTTGGTGGTGGTGATGGTGTTGTTGGTGGTGGTGATGGTGGTGGTGATGGTGGTGGTGGTGATGGTGGTGGTGATGGTGGTGATGATGGTGATGATGGTGGTGGTGGTAGTGATGGTGGTGGTAGTGATGGTGGTGGTGATGGTGGTGGTGATGGTGGTGATGGTGTTGGTGATGGTGGTGATGGTGTTGGTGGTGATAGTGTGGCGACAGTAGTAGCTGTAGAGTGACGGGAAGTGTGTGTTCGTGTGTGTGTAGTGTGTGTGTCTGTCTGTGTGTGTAGTGTGTGTCTGTCCGTGTGTCTGTGTGTGTGTGTGTCTGTGCGTGTGTGTCTCTGTGTATGTCTGTGTGTCTGTAGTGTGTCCGTGTGTATGTGTGACTGTGTGTGTATGTGATGTGTGTGTGTCTCTTTGTCTTTGACTGTGTGTGTGTGTGCGACTGTGTGTGTGTCTGTGTGTGACTGTGTGTGACTGTGTGTGTGTGACTGTGTGTGTGTGACACTGTGTGTGTGTGTGTGTCTGTGTGTATGTGAGTGTGAGTGTGTATGTGACTCTGTGTGTGTGACTGTGTGTGTGTGACTGTGTGTGTGTGTGACTGTGTGTGTGTGACTGTGTGTGTGTGTGACTGTGTGTGACTGTGTGTGTGTGTGACTGTGTGTGTGACTGTGTGTGTGTGACTGTGTGTGTGTGACTGTGTGTGACTGTGTGTGTGTGTGTGACTGTGTGTGTGACTATGTGTGTGTGACTGTGTGACTATGTGTGTGTGACTGTGTGACTGTGTGTGTGTGACTGTGTGTGTGTGTGACTGTGTGTGTGTGACTGTGTGTGTGTGACTGTGTGTGTGTGACTGTGTGTCACTGTGTGTGTGTGTGACTGTGTGTGTGTGACTGTGTGTGTGTGTGACTGTGTGTGTGTGTGACTGTGTGTGACTGTGTGTGTGACTGTGTGTGTGACTGTGTGTGACTGTGTGTGTGTGACTGTGTGTGTGTGACTGTGTGTGTGTGACTGTGTGTGACTGTGTGTGTGTGTGACTGTGTGTGTGTGACTGTGTGTGTGTGACTGTGTGTGTGTGACTGTGTGTGTGTGACTGTATGTGTGTGTGACTGTGTGTGTGTGTGTGACTGTGTGTGTGTGTGACTGTGTGTGTGTGTGACTGTGTGTGTGTGTGACTGTGTGTGACTGTGTGTGACTGTGTGTGACTGTGTGTGTGTGACTGTGTGTGTGTGTGACTGTGTGTGTGTGACTGTGTGTGTGTGACTGTGTGTGTGTGTGACTGTGTGTGACTGTGTGTGACTGTGTGTGTCACTGTGTGTGTGTGACTGTGTGTGTCACTGTGTGTGTGTGACTGTGTGTGACTGTGTGTCACTGTGTGTGACTGTGTGTGTGACTGTGTGTGACTGTGTGTCACTGTGTGTGTGTGTGTGACTGTGTGTGTGTGTGTGACTGTGTGTCACTGTGTGTGACTGTGTGTGTGTCACTGTGTGTGACTGTGTGTCACTGTGTGTGTGTGTGTGACTGTGTGTGTGTGTGACTGTGTGTCACTGTGTGTGACTGTGTGTGTGTGACTGTGTGTCACTGTGTGTGTGTGTGTGACTGTGTGTCACTGGGTGTGCTACTGAGTGCTGAATTCAATAAAGCTCTTGCGCTGGTTCCGCCTGCTGTGGCCTCTCTCCAATGCCAACGCCTCGCTGAGGTCGCCAGGGCTGCTGTGCCAGGCTAGGTGCACCAGGAGCAGGTCACGGGACAGACCCTGCAGGGGCTATGGGTTGTACTGCTGCTGTGCCAGGCTAGGTGCACCAGGAGGAGGTCACGGGGCAGACCCAGGTGCCACGGGTCGACTGACTGAGATGACTGGCTGATGCACCACCTGTGCCCCCTGCTGTGCCAACCTGCTGTGCTTTAGCCACCCGGCGCTCCGCTCGTTGTTGTGAGCGTCGCTCCTCCGCCCTCCGTTGTTGTTGGAGGGCGACTGCCTCCAACTGCCCAGTAGCGTCCTTCACGAGCCTCCTCCACAGAGGCCGATCTTGACACCGCTGGTACCGGTCATCGGCAAGTCCACTCAGCTCCACGTCCTCCTGTACCACGTCACTCCATCTCTTCTCTAGCCCGCTTAGCCCCCTCAATCCGGCCAAACAAAAGCTGTTTCGGCATGCGGTGGCTGGGCATGCGGGCTACATGACCCAGCCATCGCAGCCTTGCCCGCCGGAGGAGCTCACCGATGGGACCTTGCCCAGATCTTTCAAGGATTTGTGAGCTCCTCACACAATCCAGCCTGGTTAAACCCAGGATGGATCGTAGGCAGGCCAGCCTAAATGTTTCTAACCGGCGAAGATGTTTTATTAGGGGGGTCCACGTTTCGTAAGCGTAGAGAAGGGAGGGAATGATCGTGGCCGAGAAGACCTGAAGCTTAGTGCGGAGCGACAGACCAGGTAGCTTCCACACAGCGTTACGCAACCGATGAAAAGATATTGCCGCTCGACTGATTCGGAGTGAGACCTCTGCTGTTAAACTGGAGCCAGTCATAAGCACACTGCTCAGGTATGGGAAACTCTCCACTCTCTCCACAACTGCCCCATCACCGATTGGGAGTTGTGGGGGTGGAGACACACACACACACTGATACACAGACACTGACACACACACTGACACACATACACACTTGACACAGACACACTGACACCACACACCGACACACTGACACAGAGACACTGACACACAGACGCACACTGACACACACTGACACTGACACACACACAGACGCACAGGCACTGACACAAACACACTGACACACATTGACACACACAGACATTGACACACACCGACACACACACTGGCACACACACTGACACACACACAGACACACTGACATACAGACACTGACACACACACTGACACACAGACACTGACATACACACTGACACACAGACACTGACATACACACTGACACACACTGACACACACTGATACACACAGACACACTGACACACACACTGACACACACTGACACACACACTGACACACACACTGACATACACACTGACACAGACACTGACACACACACAGACACACACTGACACACACTGACACACACTGACACACACAGACACACACAGACGGACACACACTGACACACACACACTGACAGACACTGACACACAACAATAGAAATGACCGCCCGTTGCCGGATTATGACAAAATAACGATTTATTATTATTACAGTAGAAATCAGAATGGTAACTTTATAGTTATTATAAGAACATCAACAACCCATTGTACACAACGCAGGCAGGAAGATGAGGTGGGGGGGAGGGGGTAAACTCCCTCCACTCGCAGAAATATTCCTTCAGTGACCGCCCGACCAGCGGCACATTGAGGGTCTGGGTTCATCTCTCTCAGGGGGTTCACGATGGCCGTGTCAGAGACCCACAGACTCACCACACAGAGACCCACAGACTCACTACACAGAGACCCACAGACTCACCACACAGAGACCCACAGACTCACCACACAGAGACCCACAGACTCACCACAGTCACCACACAGAGACCCACAGACTCACCACAAACAGACCCACAGACTCACCACACAGACACACAGACTCACTACACAGAGATCCATAGACTCACCACACAGAAACCCATAGCCTCACCACACAGAGACCCACAGACTCACCACACAGATACCCATAGACTCACCACACAGAGACCTACAGACTCACCACACAGATACCCATAGTCTCACCACACAGAACCATGGACTCACCACACAGAGACCCATAGACTCACCACACAGAGACCCACAGACTCACCACGCACGGAGACCCACAGACTCACCACACAGAGACCTACAGACTCACCACACAGATATCCATAGTCTCACCACACAGAACCACAGACTCACCACACAGAGATCCACACACCACACAGAGACCCATAGACTCACCTCACAGACCCATAGACTCGCCACACAGACCCACAGACTCACCACACAGAGACCCATAGACTCACTACACAGAGACCCACAGACTCACCACACAAAGACCCACAGACTCACCACACAGAGACCCACAGCCTCACCACCACACAGAGACCCACAGACTCACCACCACACAGAAACCCACAGACTCACCACCACACAGAGACCCACAGCCTCACCACCACACAGAGACCCACAGACTCACCACCACACAGAGACCCACAGACTCACCACCACACAGAGACCCACAGCCTCACCACCACACAGAGACCCACAGCCTCACCACACAGAGACCCACAGACTCACCACCACACAGAGACTCACAGACTCACCACACAGAGACCCACAGCCTCACCACCACACAGAGACCCATAGACTCACTACACAGAGACCCACAGACTCACCACACAGAGACCCACAGACTCACCACACAGAGACCCACAGACTCACCACGAGAGACCCACAGACTCACCACACAGAGACCCACAGACTCACCACCACACAGAGACCCACAGCCTCACCACCACACAGAGACCCACAGACTCACCACCACACAGAGACCCACAGACTCACCACGAGAGACCCACAGACTCACCCCAAAGAGACCCACAGACTCACCACACAGAGACCCACAGACTCACCACCAGAGACCCACAGACTCACCACACAGAGACCCACAGACTCACCACCACACAGAGACCCACAGACTCACCACGAGAGACCCACAGACTCACCCCAAAGAGACCCACAGACTCACCACACAGAGACCCACAGCCTCACTACCACACAGAGACCCACAGCCTCACCACCACACAGAGACCCACAGACTCACCACCACACAGAGACCCACAGACTCACCACACAGAGACCCACAGCCTCACCACCACACAGAGACCCACAGACTCACCACACAGAGACCCACAGCCTCACCACCACACAGAGACCCACAGACTCACCACCACACAGAGACTCACAGACTCACCACACAGAGACCCACAGCCTCACCACCACACAGAGACCCATAGACTCACTACACAGAGACCCACAGACTCACCAAACAAAGACCCACAGACTCACCACACAGAGACCCACAGCCTCACCACGACACAGAGACCCACAGCCTCACCACCACACAGAGACCCACAGACTCACCACCACACAGAAACCCACAGACTCACCACCACACAGAGACCCACAGACTCACCACCACACAGAGATCCACAGCCTCACCACCACACAGAGACCCACAGACTCACCACCAGAGACCCACAGCCTCACCACCACACAGAGACCCACAGCCTCACCACCACACAGAGACCCACAGACTCACAACCACACAGAGACCCACAGACTCACCACCACACAGAGACCCACAGACTCACCACACAGAGACCCACAGACTCACCACGAGAGACCCACAGACTCACCACACAGAGACCCACAGACTCACCACCAGAGACCCACAGACTCACCACCACACAGAGACCCACAGACTCACCACACAGAGACCCACAGCCTCACCACCACACAGAGACCCACAGACTCACCACACAGAGACCCACAGACTCACCACCACACAGAGACCCACAGACTCACCACCACACAGAGACCCACAGACTCACCACACAGAGACCCACAGCCTCACCACCACACAGAGACCCACAGACTCACCACACAGAGACCCACAGACTCACCACCACACAGAGACCCACAGACTCACCACCACACAGAGACCCACAGACTCACCACACAGAGACCCACAGACTCACCACCACGCAGAGACCCACAGCCTCACCACCACACAGAGACCCACAGACTCACCACACAGAGACCCACAGACTCACCACCACACAGAGACCCACAGCCTCACCACCACACAGAGACCCACAGACTCACCACACAGAGACCCACAGACTCACCACGAGAGACCCACAGACTCACCACACAGAGACCCACAGACTCACCACCAGAGACCCACAGCCTCACCACGACACAGAGACCCACAGCCCCACCACCACACAGAGACCCACAGCCTCACCACCACACAGAGACCCACAGACTCACCACCACACAGAGACCCACAGACTCACCACACAGAGACCCACAGCCTCACCACCACACAGAGACCCACAGCCTCACCACCACACGGAGACCCACAGACTCACCACCACACAGAGACCCATAGACTCACCACCACACAGAGACCCACAGACTCACCACCACACAGAGACCCACAGACTCACCACCACACAGAGACCCACAGACTCACCACCACACAGAGACCCACAGACTCACCACCACACAGAGACTCACAGCCTCACCACCACACAGAGACCCACAGACTCACCACACAGAGACCCACAGACTCACCACACAGAGACCCACAGACTCACCACACAGAGACCCACAGACTCACCACACAGAGACCCACAGACTCACCACACAGAGACCCACAGACTCACCACACAGAGACCCACAGACTCACCACACAGAGACCCACAGACTCACCACACAGAGACCCACAGACTCACCACACAGAGACCCACAGACTCACCACACAGAGACCCATAGACTCACCACACAGAGACCCACAGACTCACCACCACACAGAGACCCACAGACTCACCACACAGAGACCCACACACTCACCACACAGAGACCCACAGACTCACCACACAGAGACCCACAGCCTCACCACCACACAGAGACCCACAGCCTCACCACCACACAGAGACCCACAGACTCACCACACAGAGACCCACAGACTCACCACACAGAGACCCACAGCCTCACCACACAGAGACCCACAGACTCACCACACAGAGACCCACAGACTCACCACCACACAGAGACCCACAGACTCACCACCACACAGAGACCCACAGCCTCACCACCACCACACGGAGAGTGTTGCCACGAATTAAATTTAAACTTTAAAACAACGGGCAGTGGAGTGGCGGTGACGTCTGCGGTGGAGGAGGTGTTGGTGAGCGGCCAGCGATGGTCACGAAGGCTGCTCCTGCGAGCGCCATGCCAGCCGCTCACCGGCGACGGTGAGGGGTGTGGTGAGCGCCGCGGCAAAGCGGCGGAACGCATCGAGGGAGACTCGCCGGCAGTCGCCGAGATCCACCCGGCGCAGAGACACACAGCGGGACAGGTGGTGCAGACATCGCTCAGTGAGCTTGTCACAGCCTGGGAGACACACACAGAGACACACACACAGAGACACACACAGTCACACACAGTCACACACAGAGACACACACACAGACACACACACAGAGACACACAGCGGGACAGGTGGTGCAGACATCGCTCAGTGAGCTTGTCACAGCCTGGGAGACACACACACACACAGTCACACACACACAGTCACACACACAGTCACACACACAGAGACACACAGCGGGACAGGTGGTGCAGACATCGCTCAGTGAGCTTGTCACAGCCTGGTAGACACACACACAGTCACACACAGACACACACAGTCACACACACAGAGACACACACACAGAGACACACAGCGGGACAGGTGGTGCAGACATCGCTCAGTGAGCTTGTCACAGCCTGGTAGACACACACACACAGAGACACAGAGACACACACAGTCACACACAGTCACACACACAGTCACACACACACAGTCACACACACAGAGACACACAGCGGGACAGGTGGTGCAGACATCGCTCAGTGAGCTTGTCACAGCCTGGTAGACACACACAGAGACACAGTCACACACAGTCACATACACACACACAGTCACACACACACAGAGACACACACACAGAGACACAGAGACAGAGACACACAGCGGGACAGGTGGTGCAGACATCGCTCAGTGAGCTTGTCACAGCCTGGGAGACACACACACACAGAGACACACACAGTCACACACAGACACACACACAGAGACACAGAGACACACACACAGAGACACACAGCGGGACAGGTGGTGCAGACATCGCTCCGTGAGCTTGTCACAGCCTGGGAGACACACACACACAGACACACACAGTCACACACACAGAGACACACAGTCACACACAGTCACACACACAGTCACACACACACAGTCACACACACAGAGACACACAGCGGGACAGGTGGTGCAGACATCGCTCAGTGAGCTTGTCACAGCCTGGGAGACACACACACAGTCACACACACAGTCACACACAGTCACACACACAGTCACACACACAGTCACACACAGCGGGACAGGTGGTGCAGACATCGCTCAGTGAGCTTGTCACAGCCTGGGAGACACACACACAGTCACACAGTCACACACAGTCACACACACAGTCACACACACAGAGACACACACACAGAGACACACAGCGGGACAGGTGGTGCAGACATCGCTCCGTGAGCTTGTCACAGCCTGGTAGACACACACACAGTCACACAGTCACACACACACAGTCACACACAGTCACACACACAGAGACACACACACAGTCACACACACAGAGACACACAGCGGGACAGGTGGTGCAGACATCGCTCAGTGAGCTTGTCACAGCCTGGGAGACACACACACAGACACACACAGTCACACACACAGAGACACACAGTCACACACAGAGACACACACACAGAGACACACAGCGGGACAGGTGGTGCAGACATCGCTCAGTGAGCTTGTCACAGCCTGGTAGACACACACAGAGACACAGTCACACACAGTCACATACACACACACAGTCACACACACACAGAGACACACACACAGAGACACACACACAGAGACACACAGCGGGACAGGTGGTGCAGACATCGCTCAGTGAGCTTGTCACAGCCTGGTAGACACACACACACAGAGACACAGAGACACACACAGTCACACACAGTCACACACACAGTCACACACACACAGTCACACACACAGAGACACACAGCGGGACAGGTGGTGCAGACATCGCTCAGTGAGCTTGTCACAGCCTGGTAGACACACACACAGAGACACACAGTCACACACAGTCACACACACAGAGACACACACACAGAGACACACACACAGAGACACACAGCGGGGCAGGTGGTGCAGACATCGCTCAGTGAGCTTGTCACAGCCTGGTAGACACACACAGAGACACAGTCACACACAGTCACATACACACACACAGTCACACACACACAGAGACACACACACAGAGACACACACACAGAGACACACAGCGGGACAGGTGGTGCAGACATCGCTCAGTGAGCTTGTCACAGCCTGGTAGACACACACAGAGACACAGTCACACACAGTCACATACACACACACAGTCACACACACACAGAGACACACACACAGAGACACACACACAGAGACACACAGCGGGACAGGTGGTGCAGACATCGCTCCGTGAGCTTGTCACAGCCTGGGAGACACACACAGAGACACACACACAGTCACACACACAGTCACACAGAGACACACACACAGAGACACACAGCGGGACAGGTGGTGCAGACATCGCTCAGTGAGCTTGTCACAGCCTGGGAGACACACACAGTCACACACAGTCACACACACACACAGACACAGAGACACACACAGAGACACACACACAGAGACACACAGCGGGACAGGTGGTGCAGACATGGCTCAGTGAGCTTGTCACAGCCTGTTAGACACACACAGAGACACACAGTCACACACAGACACACACACACAGTCACACACACAGTCACACACACAGAGACACACACACAGAGACACAGAGACAGAGACACGCAGCGGGACAGGTGGTGCAGACATCGCTCAGTGAGCTTGTCACAGCCTGGGAGACACACACAGACACACAGTCACAGTCACACACACACAGACACACACACAGAGACACACACACAGAGACACACACACAGTCACACACACAGTCACACACACAGAGACACACACACAGAGACACGCAGCGGGACAGGTGGTGCAGACATCGCTCAGTGAGCTTGTCACAGCCTGGGAGACACACACAGAGACACACACAGACACACACACAGTCACACACACAGAGACACACACAGTCACACACACACAGTCACACAGTCACACACACAGAGACACACACACAGAGACACACAGCGGGACAGGTGGTGCAGACATCGCTCAGTGAGCTTGTCACAGCCTGCGAGACACACACACAGACACACAGTCATATACACAGTCACACACACAGACACACACACAGAGACACACACACAGAGACACGCAGCGGGACAGGTGGTGCAGACATCGCTCCGTGAGCTTGTCACAGCCTGGGAGACACACACACAGAGAGACACACAGTCACACACAGTCACACACACACAGTCACACACACACAGTCACACAGTCACACACACACAGTCACACAGTCATACACACAGTCACACACACAGTCACACACACACACACAGTCATATACACACACAGACACACACAGTCACACACACACAGTCACACACAGTCACACACACAGTCATATACACACACACAGACACACACACAGAGACACACACACAGAGACACGCAGCGGGACAGGTGGTGCAGACATCGCTCAGTGAGCTTGTCACAGCCTGCGAGACACACACACAGACACACAGTCACACACACAGTCACACACACAGACACACACACACAGAGACACAGTCACACACACACAGTCACACACACACAGTCACACACACACAGTCACACACAGAGACACACACAGAGACACACACAGTCATATACACACAGAGACATACACATACACAGTCACACACACAGTCACACACACAGTCACACACACAGAGACACACACAGTCATATACACACAGAGACATACACACGCACAGTCACACACACAGTCACACACACACAGACACACACACACACACAGACACACACAGAGACACACACACAGTCACACACACACAGACACACACACACACACAGACACACACAGTCACACACACAGTCACACACACAGTCACACACACACAGTCATATACACACAGAGACACGCAGCGGGACAGGTGGTGCAGACATCGCTCAGTGAGCTTGTCACAGCCTGGGAGACACACACAGAGACACATACACAGTCATATACACACAGAGACACACACAGAGACACACACACAGTCACACACACAGTCATATACACACAGAGACACACACACAGAGACACACACACAGTCACACACACAGTCATATACACACAGAGACACAGAGACACACACACAGAGACACACACACAGTCACACATACAGTCACACACACAGTCATATACACACAGAGACACACACACAATCACAAACACAGAGACACACACACAGTCACACACACAGTCACACACACACACAATCACACACACAGAGACACCCACACAGTCACACACACACAGAGACACACACACAGTCACACACACAGTCACACACACACACAGTCACACACACACAGTCACACACACACAGTCACACACACAGTCACACACAAAGAGACACACACACACAGAGACACACACAGTCACACAACAACAACAACCGACATTCGCCACTAAGTGGCGGTGACGTCACCACGACGCTTGTGCCAGGCTATGTGCACCCTGAGGCCACGTTAAGTATCGAACGCCCGCTGGCAGGAGGTCACGGGGCAGACCCAGGTGCCACGGGTCGACTGACTGAGATGACTGGCTGATGCACCACCTGTGCCCCCTACTGTGCAAACCTGCTGTGCTTTAGCCACCCGGCGCTCCGCTCGTTGTTGTGAGCGTCGCTCCTCCGCCCTCCGTTGTTGTTGGAGGGCAACTACCTCCAACTGCCCCAGTAGCGTCCTTCACGAGCCTCCTCCACAGGGGCCGATCTTGACACCGCTGGTACCGGTCATCGGAAAGTCCACTCAGCTCCACGTCCTCCTGTACCACGTCACTCCATCTCTTCTCTAGCCCGTGCCGCGCCCGTTTAGCCCCCTCGATCCGGCCGAACACAAGCTGTTTCGGCATGCGGTGGCTGGGCATGCGGTGGCTGGGCATGCGGGCTACATGACCCAGCCATCGCAGCCTTGCCTGCCGGAGGAGCTCACCGATGGGACCTTGCCCAGATCTTTCAAAGATTTGTGAGCTCCTCACACAATCCAGCCTGGTTAAACCCAGGATGGATCGTAGGCAGGCCAGCCTAAATGTTTCTAAGCGGCGAAGATGTTCCATTAGGGGGTTCCACGTTTCACAAGCGTAGAGAAGGGAGGGAATGACCATGGCCGAGAAGACCTGAAGTTTAGTGCGGAGCGACAGACCAGGTAGCTTCCACACAGCGTTACGCAACCGATAAAAAGATATTGCCGCTCGACTGATTCGGAGTGAGACCTCTGCTGTTAAACTGGAGCCGGTCATAAGTACACTGCCCAGGTATGGGATACTCTCCACTCTCTCCACAACTGCCCCATCACCCATTGGGAGTTGTGGGGGTGGAGTGTCTGATGGTACAAAATACCCAGGCAGGTGCTTAGTTTTGGTGGGGCTGATGGTAAGGCCCCACCTCTTAGTGGCACGCTCCAGTCTCAGCAGCAGCGTCTCCAACTCCTCCTCTGAATGAGCAGCTATTACCAAATCATCGGCATACATAACGTGGTTGAGCAATAGGGAGCCATCCCTTGACCGCACCTGGGCATCGATCAGCCTCCCATTATATCTGTACCAAATGGAGTTTCCCCGGTACAGCTATTGAAGGCTTCACGAACTACGTGGTCAAAATAGATGTTAAATAATGTGGGAGCCAGAGGACATCCCCGTCGTACCCCAAGGTGTACAGAGAATGGCTCTGACTCCCGGCCACGTAGTTTTACCCGGGCCCGCTCACCATCATGAAGGTCCTTAATGATCGTGAACAGAGGGTCAGATACTCCAAAAGCACGAAGAACGACCCAGAGCCCAGGCCTACTGATGGTATCATAGGCCTTGACCAGGTCAATAAAGCAGAGATGTAGGTCTTGTTGGAATTCCCTACACCTCTGCTGTAGCAGACGGACAGAAAATATGGCATCTGTGCAGAACCGCACTTTCCTGAAACCGCATTGGGGCTCCGCAAGCCTCTCCTCAGCGTGCCTGGCAAGGCGATGTTGAATAATCCTTGCCAGGACCTTTCCCGGCACACTGAGGAGTGAGATGCCCCTGTAGTTGTTAGAGTCTGTGCGGTTCCCCTTCTTAAAGAGGGGGACCACCAGGGCATCCTTCCAATCCTGCGGAACCTATCCAGAGGTCCAGACTGTTGTTATGATGTCATATAGGGCAGTCTGTGCACAAACGCCACCCTCCCTCAGCATTTCGCTTGGGAGATCATCTCTGCCCGCTGCCTTTCCTGGTCTCAGACTCCGGATCGCCTTCAGTACTTCCTCAACAGATGGCACCTCAGCCAGCCACTCACAGGGGGTGACTTCTTCCAATATTTGAGGCACCGCAGCCTCAGCAGGGTCATCCTCACTTTGTGCCACGATGTTTTCCTGGCTGAGGGATTTTCCCTCCCCCAGGACCTCACAGAAATGCTCAGCAAATCTGCAAACCTGTTCCTGGGGGTCGGAGATTGGATCACCGTTTTTTGATGGAGTTAAATAGAGATTTGTGATCGTGGGCCACTGAGGCAGACTCCATCTCTTCAGCAACCCGCGACCACCACCCATTCTTGCAGCGCCTCACGGCTCTCCGAACCTCCGAGCGAAGGCTGCGGTAAGCCTCCTCATTCCCTCACCTGGGATTCTGTAGCCGATGACAGTGGGCCTGTCGCTTTTTCTCAACCATCCTGAACACCTCCTCTGTCAGCCAGGGTCTCTGGGGAGGTCTGGACCGCGTACCCAAAACAGCCAATGCAGCTGCTTGAGTGACAGTCCTAAACCTCGCCCATTTACCCTCGACATCAGGACGAGTGGGGGACGATGCCAACCCCAGCCACAGGCGATGATGAAATTCTCGCTTGCAACTTTCATCAGATAACTGAGACCAGGCAACTTTAGGTTGGAATGGGGTCCTGGGTGTACACCCACCACCGGAGTGGAAGAATGGCAGGCGCATCTTACAGATGACAAGTCGATGGTCAGAGGGCAGATCAGCGCCACGGTAGGTCCTGGTGTCAAGGACATGGGCTCGCATCCGCTGGTCCGTCACTATGTAGTCCAGCAGATGGTCGTGCTTGGACCCGGCATGCATCCATGATGTTGTGTGGATGTGCTGATGCTGCGCATCCACACAACATCATGGTCTGTGCGGTCCCCCTCTAGCTGGTGAGTGAGTGACTCACCAGCTAGAGAGATGTGAGTGACTCACCAGGTGAGCGAGTGACTCACCAGGTGAGCGAGTGAATGACTCACCAGCTAGAGAGATGTGAGTGACTCACCAGGTGAGCGAGTGACTCACCAGGTGAGCGAGTGAGTGACTCACCAGGTGAGTGACTCACCAGCTAGAGAGATGTGAGTGACTCACCTGGTGAGTGAGTGACTCACCAGCTAGAGAGATGTGAGTGACTCACCAGGTGAGTGAGTGACTCACCTGGTGAGTGACTCACTCACCTGGTGAGTGAGTGACTCACCAGGTGAGTGAGTGACTCACCAGCTAGAGAGATGTGAGTGAGTGACTCACCAGGTGAGTGAGTGACTCACCAGGTGAGTGAGTGACTCACCAGGTGAGTGAGTGACTCACCAGGTGAGTGACTCATCAGCTAGAGAGATGTGAGTGACTCACCAGGTGAGTGACTCACCAGCTAGAGAGATGTGAGTGACTCACCAGGTGAGTGAGTGACTCACCAGCTAGAGAGATGTGAGTGACTCACCAGGTGAGTGACTCACCAGGTGAGTGAGTGACTCACCAGCTAGAGAGATGTGAGTGACTCACCAGGTGAGTGACTCACCAGGTGAGTGACTCACCAGCTAGAGAGATGTGAGTGAGTGACTCACCAGGTGAGTGACTCACCAGCTAGAGAGATGTGAGTGACTCACCAGGTGAGTGAGTGACTCACCAGCTAGAGAGATGTGAGTGAGTGACTCACCAGCTAGAGAGATGTGAGTGAGTGAGTGACTCACCAGGTGAGTGAGTGAGTGACTCACCAGGTGAGTGACTCACCAGGTGAGTGAGTGACTCACCAGCTAGAGAGATGTGAGTGACTCACCAGGTGAGCGAGTGAGTGACTCACCTGGTGAGTGAGTGAGTGACTCACCAGGTGAGTGACTCACCAGCTAGAGAGATGTGAGTGAGTGAGTGACTCACCAGGTGAGTGACTCACCAGCTAGAGAGATGTGAGTGACTCACCAGGTGAGTGACTCACCAGGTGAGTGAGTGACTCACCAGCTAGAGAGATGTGAGTGAGTGAGTGACTCACCTGGTGAGTGACTCACCAGGTGAGTGACTCACCAGCTAGAGAGATGTGAGTGAGTGAGTGACTCACCAGGTGAGTGACTCACCAGCTAGAGAGATGTGAGTGAGTGACTCACCTGGTGAGTGACTCACCAGGTGAGTGAGTGACTCACCAGCTAGAGAGATGTGAGTGAGTGACTCACCTGGTGAGTGACTCACCAGGTGAGTGAGTGACTCACCAGGTGAGTGAGTGACTCACCAGGTGAGTGAGTGACTCACCTGGTGAGTGACTCACCAGGTGAGTGAATGACTCACCAGCTAGAGAGATGTGAGTGAGTGACTCACCTGGTGAGTAACTCACCAGGTGAGTGAGTGACTCACCAGGTGAGTGAGTGAATCACCAGGTGAGTGACACACCAGCTAGAGAGATGTGAGTGAGTGAGTGACTCACCGGCTAGAGAGATGTGAGTGAGTGAGTGACTCACCAGGTGAGTGACTCACCAGGTGAGTGAGTGACTCACCAGCTAGAGAGATGTGAGTGACTCACCAGGTGAGCGAGTGAGTGACTCACCTGGTGAGTGAGTGAGTGACTCACCAGGTGAGTGACTCACCAGCTAGAGAGATGTGAGTGAGTGACTCACCAGGTGAGTGAGTGACTCACCAGGTGAGTGACTCACCAGGTGAGTGACTCACCAGGTGAGTGAGTGACTCACCAGGTGAGTGACTCACCAGGTGAGTGAGTGACTCACCAGCTAGAGAGATGTGAGTGAGTGACTCACCAGGTGAGTGAGTGACTCACCAGGTGAGTGACTCACCAGGTGAGTGACTCACCAGCTAGAGAGATGTGAGTGACTCACCAGGTGAGTCACTCACTCACCAGGTGAGTGAGTGACTCACCAGGTGAGTGAGTGAGTGACTCACCAGGTGAGTCACTCACCTGGTGAGTGACTCACCAGGTGAGTGACTCACCAGGTGAGTCACTCACCAGCTAGAGAGATGTGAGTGAGTGAGTGACTCACCAGCTAGAGAGATGTGAGTGAGTGAGTGAGTGACTCACCAGGTGAGTGAGTGACTCACCAGCTAGAGAGAAGTGAGTGAGTGAGTGACTCACCAGGTGAGTGACTCACCAGCTATAGAGATGTGAGTGACTCACCAGGTGAGTCACTCACTCACCAGGTGAGTGAGTGACTCACCAGGTGAGTGACTCACCAGCTAGAGAGATGTGAGTGAGTGACTCACCAGGTGAGTGACTCACCAGCTAGAGAGATGTGAGTGAGTGACTCACCAGGTGAGTGACTCACCAGCTAGAGAGATGTGAGTGAGTGACTCACCAGGTGAGTGACTCACCAGGTGAGTGAGTGAGTGACTCACCAGCTATAGAGATGTGAGTGACTCACCAGGTGAGTGACTCATCAGCTAGAGAGATGTGAGTGAGTGACTCACCAGGTGAGTGACTCACCAGGTGAGTGAGTGAGTGAGTGACTCACCAGCTAGAGAGATGTGAGTGACTCACCAGCTAGAGAGATGTGAGTGAGTGACTCACCAGGTGAGTGACTCACCAGGTGAGTGAGTGAGTGACTCACCAGGTGAGTGACTCACCAGGTGAGTGAGTGACTCACCAGGTGAGTGAGTGACTCACCAGGTGAGTGAGTGAGTGAGTGACTCACCAGGTGAGTGACTCACCAGGTGAGTGACTCACCAGGTGAGTGAGTGACTCACCAGCTAGAGAGATGTGAGTGAGCTGCTCCCGCGTGGGGTTGCCCACAGCCAGTAGCAGTGCGAGTGACGAGTCGGTGAGTGAGCGAGTCACTCACCTGGTGAGTCACTCACCTGGTGAGTGACTCACCAGGTGAGTGAGTGACTCACCAGGTGAGTGAGTGACTCACCAGGTGAGTGAGTGAGTGACTCACCAGGTGAGTGACTCACCAGGTGAGTGAGTGAGTGACTCACCAGCTAGAGAGATGTGAGTGAGCTGCTCCCGCGTGGGGTTGCCCACAGCCAGTAGCAGTGCGAGTGACGAGTCGGTGAGTGAGCGAGTCACTCACCTGGTGAGTGACTCACCAGGTGAGTGAGTGACTCACCAGGTGAGTGAGTGACTCACCAGGTGAGTGAGTGACTCACCAGCCAGAGAGATGTGAGTGAGCTGCTCCCGCGTGGGGTTGCCCACAGCCAGTAGCAGTGCGAGTGACGAGTCGGTGAGTGAGTGAGTCACTCACCTGGTGAGTCACTCACCAGGTGAGTGAGTCACCTGGTGAGTGAGTGACTCACCAGGTGAGTGAGTGACTCACCTGGTGAGTCACTCACCAGGTGAGTGACTCACCAGGTGAGTGAGTGAGTGACTCACCAGCTAGAGAGATGTGAGTGAGCTGCTCCCGCGTGGGGTTGCCCACAGCCAGTAGCAGTGCGAGCGACGAGTCGGTGAGTGAGCGAGTCACTTACCAGGTGAGTCACTCACCTGGTGAGTGACTCACCAGGTGAGTGAGTGAGTGACTCACCAGGTGAGTGAGTGACTCACCAGCTAGAGAGATGTGAGTGAGCTGCTCCCGCGTGGGGTTGCCCACAGCCAGTAGCAGTGCGAGCGACGAGTCGGTGAGTGAGCGACAGCGCTCCAGACGGAGGTTGGTGAGCGCCGGTGAGTGCCGGGTGAGGGCCCGCAACGTCCCCTCACCCAGGGGCAGCGCCGACGCGTCCAGCGTGGTGAGGAAACGGAGGCGACTCCTCACCTCGCCCACGCCTGGGGGTGAGCGGGGGCAGGGGGTGGTGAGCGGGAGCGGGGGGGGGTTGTTACCACACACTCACTCACCCACTCACTCACCCACACACACACACACCCACCCACTCACCCACTCACTCACCCACACACTCACCCACACACTCACCCACTCACTCACCCACACACCCACTCACTCACTCACCCACACACTCACTCACCCACTCACCCACACACTCACCCACACACCCACACACTCACCCACACACCCACACACTCACCCACCCACTCACTCACCCACTCACCCACCCACCCACCCACACACTCACCCACACACTCACCCACACACTCACCCACACACTCACTCACTCACTCACCCACACACTCACTCACTCACTCACCCACACACTCACACACTCACCCACTCACTCACCCACTCACTCACCCACACACTCACTCACCCACCCACTCACCCACTCACACACTCACTCACTCACCCACACACTCACCCACACACTCACCCACTCACTCACCCACCCATACACTCACCCACTCACTCACTCACTCACCCACACACCCACCCACACACTCACTCACCCACCCACCCACTCACCTACACACTCACTCACACACTCACCCACACACTCACTCACCCACTCACACACCCACTCACTCACTCACCCACTCACTCACCCACACACTCACCCACACACCCACCCACTCACTCACCCACACACTCTCTCACTCACCCACACACTCACCCACTCACTTACCCACACACTCACCCACTCACTCACCCACACACTCACCCACACACTCTCTCACTCACCCACACACTCACCCACTCACTCACCCACACACTCACCCACTCACCCACCCACACACTCTCTCACTCACCCACACACTCACCCACACTCACCCACACACTCACTCACCCACCCACTCACCCACACACTCACCCACACACTCTCTCACTCACCCACACACTCACCCACACTCACCCACTCACCCACACACTCACTCACTCACCCACACACTCACCCACACACTCACCCACACACCCACCCACTCACTCACCCACACACTCACACACTCACCCACACACTCACTCACCCACACACCCACACACTCACCCACACACTCACTCACTCACCCACACACTCACTCACTCACCCACTCACTCACCCACACACTCACTCACACACTCACTCACTCACACACTCACTCACCCACACACTCACCCACCCACTCACTCACCCACTCACTCACTCACCCACTCACCCACCCACCCACCCACTCACCCACCCACACACTCACTCACCCATTAACTCACTCACCCATTAACTAACTCACCCACTCACCCACACACTCACCCACACACTCACCTACACACTCACTCACACACTCACCCACACCCTCACCCACTCACCCACACGCTCACCCACACGCTCACCCACACGCTCACCCACACGCTCACCCACTCGCTCACCCACACACTCACCCACACACTCACCCACACACTCACCCACTCACTCACCCACTAACTCACTCACCCACTCACCCATTAACTCACTCACCCACACACCCATTAACTCACTCACCCACTCACCCATTAACTCACTCACCCACACACCCATTAACTCACCCATTAACTCACCCATTAGCTCACCCACTAACTCACTCAACCACTCACCCATTAACTCACCCACTCACCCATTAACTCACTCACCCACGCACCCATTAACTCACTCACACACTGGTTGTTGTGGTGGTAGTGGTTGTTGCTGTTGTGGTGTTAGTGGTTGTTGTTATTGTGGTTGTTGTTGTAGTGGCTGTTGTTGTGTCACCAGGGAGGAAGAAGAGTCTAAGTAGGTCGTTATGGTGGTGGTTGTGGTAGTAGTAGTGGTGGTAGTAGTAGTAGTGGTAGTAGTAGTGGTAATAGTGGTGGTAGTAGTGGTAGTAGTAGTGGTGGTAGTGTTGGTAGTAGTGGTAGTAGTAGTAGTGGTAGTAGTAGTGGTGGTAGTGTTGGTAGTAGTGGTAGTAGTAGTAGTGGTAGTAGTAGTGGTGGTAGTGTTGGTAGTAGTGGTAGTAGTAGTAGTGGTAGTAGTAGTGGTGGTAGTGTTGGTAGTAGTGGTAGTAGTAGTAGTGGTAGTAGTAGTGGTGGTAGTGTTGGTAGTAGTAGTAGTAGTGGTGGTAGTAGTAGTGGTAGTAGTAGTGGTAGTAGTTGTTGTAGTGGTTGTTGTTGTTGTGGTTGTTGTGGTTGTTGTTGTTGTCACCAGGGAGGAAGAAGAGTCTCAGGAGGTCGTTATGGTGGTGGTTGTGGTAGTAGTGGTGGTAGTGGTGGTAGTGGTAGTAGTGGTAGTAGTAGTGGTGGTAGTGTTGGTAGTAGTGGTAGTGGTGGTAGTGGTAGTAGTAGTGGTAGTAGTAGTAGTGGTAGTAGTAGTGGTAGTAGTGGTAGTAGTAGTGGTGGTAGTGGTAGTAGTAGTGGTAGTAGTGGTAGTAGTAGTAGTGGTAGTAGTAGTGGTGGTAGTAGTGGTAGTAGTAGTGGTGGTGGTAGTAGTAGTGGTGGTAGTAGTGGTAGTAGTGGTGGTAGTAGTAGTAGTGGTGGTAGTAGTAGTGGTAGTAGTAGTGGTAGTAGTGGTGGTAGTAGTAGTGGTGGTAGTAGTAGTGGTGGTAGTAGTAGTAGTGGTAGTAGTAGTGGTGGTAGTGGTAGTAGTAGTGGTAGTAGTAGTGGTAGTAGTGGTAGTGGTTGTAGTAGTAGCGGTGGTAGTAGTGGTAGTAGTAGTGGTAGTAGTGGTGGTAGTAGTAGTGGTGGTAGTAGTAGTAGTGGTGGTAGTAGTAGTGGTAGTAGTAGTGGTAGTAGTGGTGGTAGTAGTAGTGGTGGTAGTGGTAGTAGTAGTAGTGGTAGTAGTAGTGGTAGTAGTGGTAGTGGTAGTAGTGGTAGTAGTGGTAGTAGTAGTGGTAGTAGTAGTAGTGGTAGTAGTAGTGGTAGTAGTGGTAGTAGTAGTGGTAGTGGTAGTAGTGGTAGTAGTAGTGGTAGTAGTAGTAGTGGTGGTAGTGGTAGTAGTAGTAGTGGTAGTAGTGGTTGTTGTTGTTGTTGTGGTTGTTGTTGTGGTTGTTGTTGTCACCAGGGAGGAAGAGGAGTCTCAGGAGGTCGTCTGTGGCTCCGTGAGCTCCCGACAGGTCGAGAGATCTCAGCGGAGGAGCGGAGGGACAGGTGGTGAGCGCAGTTACCACGCTCCACGCACAGCCGCCTAGCGACAGCTCTCGTAGGCCTGACACACACAAAGTGACACACACACAGTGACACACACAGTGACACACACAGTGACACACACACACAGTGACACACACACACACAGTGACACACACACAGTGACACACACAGTGACACACACAGTGACACACACAAAGTGACACACACACAGTGACACACACAGTGACACACACACACAGTGACACACACACAGTGACACACACAGTGACACACACACAGTGACACACACACAGTGACACACACAGTGACACACACAGTGACACACACACAGTGACACACACACAGTGACACACACACACAGTGACACACACACAGTGACACACACAGTGACACACACACAGTGACACACACACAGTGACACACACAGTGACACACACAGTGACACACACACAGTGACACACACACAGTGACACACACACACAGTGACACACACACAGTGACACACACAGTGACACACACACAGTGACACACACAGTGACACACACACACAGTGACACACACAGTGACACACACAGTGACACACACACAGTGACACACACAGTGACACACACAGTGACACACACACAGAGACACACACACAGTGACACACACACAGACACAGTGACACACAGTGACACACACAGTGACACACAGTGACACACACAGTGACACACACACAGTGACACACAACAGTGACACACACAGTGACACACACAGTGACACACACAGTGACACAACACAGTGACACACACAGTGACACACACAGTGACACACAGGACACACAGTGACACACACACACACACAGTGACACACACAGTGACACACACAGTGACACACACAGTGACACACACACAGTGACACACACAGTGACACACACACAGTGACACACACACACAGTGACACACACAGTGACACACAGTGACACACACAGTGACACACACACAGTGACACACACAGTGACACACACACAGTGACACACACACAGTGACACACACAGTGACACACACAGTGACACACACACAGTGACACACACAGTGACACACACACAGTGACACACACACACAGTGACACACACACACACAGTGACACACACACAGTGACACACACAGTGACACACACAGTGACACACACAAAGTGACACACACACAGTGACACACACAGTGACACACACACACAGTGACACACACACAGTGACACACACAGTGACACACACACAGTGACACACACACAGTGACACACACAGTGACACACACAGTGACACACACACAGTGACACACACACAGTGACACACACACACAGTGACACACACACAGTGACACACACAGTGACACACACACAGTGACACACACAGTGACACACACACACAGTGACACACACAGTGACACACACAGTGACACACACACAGTGACACACACAGTGACACACACAGTGACACACACACAGTGACACACACACAGTGACACACACACACACACAGTGACACACAGTGACACACACAGTGACACACACACAGTGACACACACAGTGACACACACACAGTGACACACACACAGTGACACACACAGTGACACACACACAGTGACACACACAGTGACACACACACAGTGACACACACACACACAGTGACACACACAGTGACACACACAGTGACACACACAGTGACACACACAGTGACACACACACAGTGACACACAGTGACACACACACACAGTGACACACACAGTGACACACACACAGTGACACACAGTGACACACACACAGTGACACACACAGTGACACACACACAGTGACACACACACACAGTGACACACAGTGACACACACACAGTGACACACACAGTGACACACACACAGTGACACACACACACAGTGACACACACAGTGACACACACAGTGACACACACACACAGTGACACACACAGTGACACACACAGTGACACACACAGTGACACACACACACAGTGACACACACAGTGACACACACAGTGACACACACAGTGACACACACACACAGTGACACACACAGTGACACACACACACAGTGACACACACACAGTGACACACACACAGTGACACACACAGTGACACACACAGTGACACACACAGTGTCACACACACAGTGACACACACACACACAGTGACACACACACAGTGACACACACAGTGACACACACAGTGACACACACACACAGTGACACACACAGTGACACACACAGTGACACACACAGTGACACACACACACAGTGACACACACAGTGACACACACAGTGACACACACAGTGACACACACACACAGTGACACACACAGTGACACACACACACAGTGACACACACACAGTGACACACACACAGTGACACACACAGTGACACACACAGTGACACACACAGTGTCACACACACAGTGACACACACACACACACAGTGACACACACACAGTGACACACACACACAGTGACACACACACAGTGTCACACACAGTGACACACACAGTGACACAAACACAGTGACACACAGTGACACACACACAGTGACACACACAGTGACACACACAGTGACACACACACACAGTGATACACACACAGTGACACACACACACACACAGTGACACACACACAGTGACACACACACACAGTGACACACACACAGTGTCACACACAGTGACACACACAGTGACACAAACACAGTGACACACAGTGACACACACACACAGTGACACACACAGTGACACACACAGTGACACACACACACAGTGATACACACACAGTGACACACACAGTGACACACACAGTGACACACACACACACAGTGACACACACACAGTGACACACACACAGTGACACACACACACACACAGTGACACACACACAGTGACACACACACAGTGACACACACACACAGTGACACACACACAGTGACACACACACAGTGACACACACACAGTGACACACACACAGTGACACACACACAGTGACACACACACAGTGACACACACAGTGACACACACACAGTGACACACACACAGTGACACACACAGTGACACACACACAGTGACACACACACAGTGACACACACACAGTGACACACACACACAGTGACACACACACAGTGACACACACACAGTGACACACACACAGTGACACACACACAGTGACACACACACAGTGACACACACACAGTGACACACACACAGTGACACACACACAGTGACACACACACACACAGTGACACACACACAGTGACACACACACAGTGTCACACACACAGTGACACACACAGTGACACACACAGTGACACACACACAGTGACACACACACAGTGACACACACAGTGACACACACACACAGTGACACACACACAGTGACACACACACAGTGTCACACACACAGTGACACACACAGTGACACACACACACAGTGACACACACAGTGACACACACAGTGACACACACACACAGTGACACACACAGTGACACACACACAGTGACACACACACACAGTGACACACACAGTGACACACACAGTGACACACACAGTGACACACACACAGTGACACACACAGTGACACACACAGTGACACACACAGTGACACACACACACACAGTGACACACACAGTGACACACACACAGTGACACACACAGTGACACACACACAGTGACACACACAGTGACACACACAGTGACACACACACAGTGACACACACAGTGACACACACAGTGACACACACAGTGACACACACACAGTGACACACACAGTGACACACACACAGTGACACACACAGTGACACACACAGTGACACACACAGTGACACACACACAGTGACACACACAGTGACACACACAGTGACACACACACAGTGACACACACACAGTGACACACACACACAGTGACACACACACAGTGACACACACAGTGACACACACACAGTGACACACACACAGTGACACACACACAGTGACACACACAGTGACACACACACAGTGTCACACACACAGTGACACACACAGTGACACACACAGTGACACACACAGTGACACACACACAGTGACACACACACACAGTGACACACACACACACAGTGACACACACACACACAGTGACACACACACACAGTGACACACACACAGTGACACACACAGTGACACACACACACAGTGACACACACACACACAGTGACACACACACACACACAGTGACACACACACACACACAGTGACACACACACACACACAGTGACACACACACAGTGACACACACACACAGTGACACACACAGTGACACACACACACAGTGACACACACACACAGTGACACACACACACACAGTGACACACACACACACACAGTGACACACACACAGTGACACACACACACAGTGACACACACAGTGACACACACACACAGTGACACACACACACACAGTGACACACACACACACACAGTGACACACACACACAGTGACACACACACAGTGACACACACACACAGTGACACACACAGTGACACACACACAGTGACACACACACACACACAGTGACACACACACAGTGACACACACACACAGTGACACACACAGTGACACACACACAGTGACACACACACACACAGTGACACACACAGTGACACACACACAGTGACACACACACACACACAGTGACACACACACAGTGACACACACAGTGACACACACACAGTGACACACACACACACAGTGACACACACAGAGACACACACAGAGACACACACAGTGACACACACACAGTGACACACACACACAGTGACACACACAGTGACACACACACAGTGACACACACACACACACAGTGACACACACACAGTGACACACACACACAGTGACACACACAGTGACACACACACAGTGACACACACACACACAGTGACACACACAGTGACACACACACAGTGACACACACACACACACAGTGACACACACACAGTGACACACACAGTGACACACACACAGTGACACACACACACACAGTGACACACACAGTGACACACAC